ACCACCCTGCTCCACAGCTTCCCTCAAATTACAAAAGCACCCTTTGGATACTCTTCCAACCAATAAAATAGGTCTATTTTTGGTGTCTGTGCAGACAGAAATCACCAGGTATTAAGATGTTTTCCAGAGCTTGTCTGGATAAGCATTTCAAAGCTTAAATTTTAAAATCTTGTATTTCTCCTTTCCTTTAGAAAATATCATCATCATTGTGAGCTAACTGCTTAGACAGGAACAATGGAAAAAGTATATGGAAAGAAAGTAATGCTATATTATGTATTATATTAAAGTATTATAGTATATACTTTTATATTAAAGTATTATATTAAGTAATGCTATATTAATATATAATTAAAAGAATGTTTACACTTGAAACATAGATCAGACCTGGATTGAGAAGAAAGCAAGAATTTCATAATTTCTGTTCATTAGAATGTAGATGTGTAGTAATGAGATCTGGTGTGCATTCAAATCATCTGGGTGTTGATTATGATGAAACCTATGGTTAGGTCCATAAATACACATTTTAAAAGAAGATTCTGAAGCATGTGGTCCACATAACATACTTTATGACCCAGGATTGAAGATTGGAAATACTTTAACAATCTTCCTAATGCTTAAAGGCAGTGCTTCTTGAATAAGTTTCCTTAGAATTCTTTCATATTCCTAAGTCTCCAGTGAACTATTAGTTCTTAGAATAATTGTAGTCCCATAATAATTAGTGAGTTTAGTTTAATGAGGGGTAGTTTAAAAGGAACCATCTGATAAATTGAACGAATTGATTGGACACCAATTTATAAGTTCTTACAGAATAAGGTAGGACAATAATCAACATAGGGCAAAAAACCCAAGTGATTACAGTAACAATGTAAATGCCTTAGGACTTGAATGCACCCTCAGGGACATCAATAAATATCTTACTAATAAATGCAGGGAATCCACAACAAATGTCTTAACACTTGGTATTATTATTTAGACAGTTTGCTAATGATTATATCAACCTCTCCTACTCAATGCTGTTGAATATATATAAAGTAAAAGGCACCTGCTACTCTTTGTGAAGAGCACAGAAAGTTGTATGAGACTCAGATCCTGGTCCCAAGCAACTCACAGTTTATAAAATTTGACATTGCTGGGCCTGCAAGAACTATATATTGTCATCAGTGATGACTTTTCTATGAGTAATTTATGACCATTTAATGCCACACACATTAGAATGTGAAAAAATCAAATACTAGGGGTGACAGTTTTTAAAATCCATGCTTCCTATTTCTCCTCATCTTTCCCATGTGCCACAGTGATGTTTCTACTCTTACTGCAGAGTTGGGATGGCCTTTTGTAAAAAGAGAAAGTCATAAAAAGTAGAAATAAAATGACTACAGATGTCATCTCCAATTCTCTCCCACATGACATACATCCGGTGACAGTTCTTCCCTCTATTATTTCTCTCTTGCGTAGGGCTGCCTCCTGTGGAGTGTAATCCAACAAGGCCTCCAGTCTTAAGATTGAATGTTAACTGTCCTAATACCTCCATTCAGGAGAAATGCCAGTATCCTCTTCTGTGTTTATTTATAAAAAGGGAACAGAGGCTCTGAAGGAGCACTGCTTACCACATGGCCTGTGTGCTGGCGTGGGCCTGTGAGCTGCTTTCTTGCTCTTGTCATAATAAGACTCAGCATTCAGTGTCTTTTAGAGCAATATGATAAAATAATTTCATGCCTGATAAATTCAATAAAATAATTTGTCTTTTGGATATTATTATTCTACAAATTTGTATTATCTTTACAAAAGTATTGGGTCATGATGGATTTGTATTACTTTTTTAAAAAACTGGCCCTCTATCACAGATAGTTTGAAAAACACTGTTCAGTTACCTTTGCTTGATTTAGAAAGGGTTCTGCTTTCCTTCTCTTACTTTAGTTTCTTTGCCTTGTAAATTCCTGTCAGAGAAAAATGCCTAGATGTTGGATTTAAGCCAGTGCATGATACAGGGAAAAAGAAACTTCTTTGATTTAAAAGATAATTAGTTCTCTTAATAGCCATACATTTACTTTCTCTGAAAACCAAATTAAATCCTTACAAGATTAAAATTTTAGAAAGAGAAAAAAGTTTTAGAAAGGAAATTGTATTTTTTAATCAAAGGTTTGTTTTTGCCAAAATATTGTACTAATTTCCTATTAAGTGTATTAAGGTGATTTGGCAGTTTAAAAGTATAAATACGTAAAGTAACTAAAACTAGAGTCAGATAAAGACAAGCTTAAAAACTAACTGAGCCTGATCCAGTCTAGACTTACTACACCTCTGCCCTGTGATGAGGCTCATGTCCTCTCTTCTTTCGGTGTCCTCACACCTTCCTCCTGCTGAGCTCCAAATGCACCTCACTCTTGCGAGGAACAGTTCAGCTCTGCACACCCCACTCCCAGTTTCACTGCAGAACCACCACTCCATCACAGAGGCCTTGCCCACACACAGGGGTCTGACTCTTAATAGGACCTAGCCTCTTCAGAAGGAATTTGGTTTTAAAACAGTGTTTTTTAATCCTAGTAAATAGTAAAATTTTATTTTAACCAGATTTGACACTTGAAATTTTGTGGTGATTCAAACAAGGAGCGGGACAGGGGCTCTGAAAACTTTTTCCATAAAGTATAAGATAGTAAATATTTTAAACTTTGATGGCTGCTAAATGTCCCTGTTACAAACACTCAACTTGAATATGTATTCAACACAAATATGTAACTTGAAAGCAACCATAGATGATGAATAAACAAACGAATGAGACTATGTTCTAATAAAACTTTATTTACGAAAAGAGCCCATTTACAGCTGTTATTAAAATATTTGAAAGATATTTCCTATTTAAAAGTACAGAACTCCACCATACTCTATGTGCACTTATTTATATAAAACAATGATTGGCATGTAAATGTATTTTTTTTCTTTGCTTAATATGTTGCTTTGTGTGGAATGCAAATCATTCCTACTTACTCATTTAAAAGTAAGGCCTCTTCTAGGTAAGATCTCAATCACCTAGTCTGAGTTACTCTAAAGGTTATTCACACTTTGTTACTTTAAAGAAACCAAATTTCTTATGAATTCATTTCATTGTTCTTATCTCCAAATAGTATAAATTTGTGAAATATTCCTGTATATTTTCTGTTTTGTTGGTCTAGCCTGAATTTACATAATATTCAATTCAAAGCAAAAATGAATACAGTAAGATAACACACAAGGTGAAGGTATTAAAATAATACTACGTATTGTTATTTTGCTGTAGATCTGTGAAGAGGCTACTATACTGCTTTTTATACTATTGTGTTGAAATGGTTATTGCTGACCTTTTGGTCATAGGTCTGAGAAATTTTTCAGCATGCATCTTCAAAATATGCATCTCATTTGTTTAAAATTTTATATATATATATGAATTACTATCTTTAGTTATTATTTCAAGACACAATATACTTAACGTGAAACTTTTCATTTATCATGGTCTTATATAACCATGTAGATAATAGCCTTCCTATGATTTCTCTCTGTTTTGGGCCAAGTTCTTGTAAAATCTGATTAAATTTGTCATTACTTTTACCTTGTAAAGTAGGTGATACCAAGCTTGTCCTAGGAATAGAAGTGTCAGCTTGGTGACTTGATATTATTTATACTTGCATTGGTATTATCATTTTTAATCAGTGTGCTCCTTGCATGAATCTTATTCATTTTAAGGTATTTTTAGTAAGGGAACATACTATCATCTATAAATTGACTTGGCAAGCCAAGAAGTACACATTTCAGTGTGCCCAAAGCAAACGAAGAGAAGGCAGTGCCCACCCCCTTAGTGTGGAAACCTATTCTTCCCTGAGGGCATCTTGAATATTATTAAGTGAGGCAGGATTCTCTGTAGAGCTGACTGAGGGCACAGTGCAATTCAGACATTAAATAGCAGCTAAAATGCTTTCCTTTTTAAAGAAAATAAATATAAATGTAGGTTCCAATTTTTTTCCTGCATCACAATAAATTGTGTATCTACATAAACCTCACAATCTATGAGATCAGAGCCCATAAAAGTGTGATTTTTAAAATTTTAATTTTAATGCTTATATTGTGATTTAAGTTTTCTTTGTGTTAACCCATCTAATTTTGGGGCTAGAGACACTAATGTCTCTCTCAATCTTCCATAGTGCCAGTGGTGTTTTGTACACAATAGGTGAGCATTAATAAAACATGTACAAATGTTTCACTACACAATAGACTCATGGACTACTTTACAGTAATTACTTTATTGCTGAGGATGGATGGGACTGTGTCTTTTTTTTTTTTTAAACAAAATTGTTTACCTGGGCCCTATCAGTTAATTATCCTTTATTTATATCATCTAAATGGAGTGTCCCTAGGTTGTTACTTGTTTATTTAAATTGCATTCTCTAATTTGAAAAGTGAATTTCTTTTTGCCATGCACCCTTAAACTTACTGTCCAAGTTGGCCATTCTTCACAATATATTGCTACTACTGATTCATGAGATATTCTTTTTATTTTGTTACTTGTGTCCCTGATAAAATTGCTAATTTTACTGAAGTTAAGTCACCCACTATCTGGGGTACTTTAATAGCTGCATGATAATGTGGACTGAACAGTTTAAGCCTGTAAGGGTTGAGATGGGTAAGAGTCCATGAAAGGTGGCCAGTGTGCAACTGACAGTACATGTCAATCTTAGATGGTCTTTCAGGAGACTTTTAGCCTATGAGTATCTCAGTAATTCACCTTGATGTCATGCTTACGCACAGCTACTCTTATTTGTGTGAAGGATACACCTTATTATAAGGTGTATAAGGTGTACCTTATAAGGAAACCTTAAACTTAGACCTTTGCTTGGTTTTTGGTCTGTGTCCACCTGTGAGGACATGAGCATTCCCTTTTTCTTTGTAGTTCCCAGGTCTGGTGAGCATCTTACACCCAATAATTATTGATTGAGCATTTGTCAGTGACCCTGCAAACTCTGTTTTTGTTGTAGGAAGCAGTGCAAGTATTGATTAAGCACTCCGCTGATGTCAATGCGAGGGACAAGAACTGGCAGACACCCCTGCACGTGGCAGCAGCCAATAAGGCTGTCAAGTGTGCTGAAGTGATCATTCCCCTGCTGAGCAGTGTCAACGTCTCTGACCGAGGGGGCCGCACAGCCTTGCACCATGCTGCTCTGAATGGTCACTTGGAGGTAGGTGTTGTCATCGCTAGGAACCAAAACATTCCTTTCCTGAACACCCTCTCAGCCCAAACAGAACCTAATGTTCTTGCTAAGACTTTCAGAGAATGTTACAGTAATACTTGCGCACCAGATCTTAGGCAGCTATATCTGTTTTTCAAATTTAAAGCCACAATGGATTGGAAAAGTGGCCATCACTTCAGTCTTTTCCTCTGGCACACATTCCACAGCATCAGCTGTGACATTAGATTTCTGACCCACCTTTTGGTGTGATGCTAATTTGGCTCAGATCACCTGCAGGTGGAGAAGAGCCCGCAGCTTTACACATACTCAATTTCATGTGTGTGTATGTGTGTATTTGTGTGTAGAAGAACTGGAAAGAGGTGTGTGGGTGGTGGTAAGAGGATTCAGCAGAGACAGAGTGGGGAGCAGAACAGGCAGATTGGCTGAAATACACTGCTGAGGGGAGCAACGGGTGAGACAGGAGAGGTCTGCTGTGCCATGTGGGTTAGTTCCCTGGCTGGGGATTGAACTCAGGCTGTAGTTGTGATAGTGCTGAGACTTAACCCCTAGGCCACCAGGGAAGCCCAATTTCATTGTTGGTTATATTTCAGATGGTCAATTTACTCTTGGCCAAAGGAGCAAACATCAATGCATTTGACAAGAAGGACCGGCGTGCTCTTCACTGGGCAGCATATATGGGTAAGGATTCTGTGAATGGACAATAAAGTGCAGATAATTTAACTAAATCAGCCATGGATCTCTCATCGACCATGCAGGTTTTCTCTTGGGCACACCAGATTTGTTTTCAAGTGTGTGTTTCCATTAAATTAAGATTCAACTTCTTTTACTGGCATACATCAAACATTCTACTTGGGCAGTTGCTTGGTCAGAGATTTATTTATCTTATAAAAAGGAGGGCTAAATCATGGCCCACACCTTGGTGAATGTGTTTCGATCTGGATTGGAAAGCTACACATATGGGGCTTATTTTAACTTGCTATGGAAGCCAAAACGGGTGTTTAAAATGAAAAAGAACTGGTTGGCAAAGTAAGGACGCAAATTCCATTTGTCTTTCTCTATAAATATTTATGAAAGAAATAAAATGGAAGGAAGCAGAGACAGCCCTCTGGCTGGCGTGGAGGTTGAGAGGGGCCAGAGTGGCTGTGGATCTCTGGTGATTCCACTGTCTACAGTGTGTTGGGGCACGAGACCGCCCTTCTGCCTGCCGGGATCGGAGACACGAAGAAAGGACATTTCTCTGTTTTTCCTTTTCACTTTGTTGGCACAAATAAATACCACTGACAAATGATAGATCTCACGAAGTTTATTCTCAGCGTAGACTTGTGGGAAAAGAAGAACTAAGATCCTTCCTTTGTGTTTCTAATTGGAGAACATCCTGCAGTTAGTTAGAAAAGCAGACAGGATTCTGTCAGCACTAAGTTATAAACAACTGAATACCCATTCACAGGCGGTTGTGTTGATGAATTATGGAAGATCTACAGAATGGGACACTATACAGTAACCGCCATGATGACATCAATGATATTTATTATTAACACAGTTTCTGTTATACATTAAGTGAAAACAGATCACAAAACAGTATGAATAATATGATTCTCATTTTTAAAAAAAATAAACTGTACAATAAAAACAATCTGGGAAATATACACTGAAATCTTAACTCATTATCTGTAGGGATTGACAGTTGTGGGTAATTTTGGTTTCCCTTTAACTCCTCTTGCCCTTTCTGAATATATTTAAACAAGCATGTAAGTCTTTTATCTTCATAAAAATGACATTAATTGTGGGGAAAAAAGAATGAGTGATTTAGATGGGTTCAGTGAATCCTTGGGCTTATCACATCAACAATGCTTGCTTAAATGATGATACTTGCAAACAAATCTAAGTGAACAGGCATCACTTCTGCTAGATCTCCTTAAAGAGAAGGCTCACATAGGACTTGTCTTATTTTCCCTTACAGCATTCTCATAGTGCCTGACATGTAGTCAGCATTCACTAAATATTTGTTGAATATTTGCCACAAACCAGCTTTTTATAAAGAGCTCAGCAAAATACTGGTGGCAATTAAAACTAATGGTGATCATTTATGTGGACTGAATCGGCAAATTGTTCTGGAAAGGTTAGTAATGTTTTCTGTGGCTTTGTTTGTAAAGGCCACCTGGACGTCGTGGCGCTGCTCATTAACCATGGCGCAGAAGTGACATGTAAGGATAAGAAGGGTTACACCCCCCTGCACGCCGCAGCCTCCAACGGACAGATCAATGTTGTTAAGCATCTCCTGAATCTGGGGGTGGAGGTGAGCTATGATGAATGCGGCACCCGTGGTGTGTTTGTGGGTTTTCGTTCTGAAATTAAATCCTGTTTGCATTTTAATCCAAGAGGAAACTCTCCACCCTCGTTTTCTGGTGTCCTATCTTCTTGTATTTACATGGGCAACTAATGAAGGTTGATGTGGGGCATGTACTAAGTTAGAACATCAGAAGCAAGACTAACTTTCTGTATAGACTTAGAGAAATATGTAAACATATATATGATACATAATAAACTCTCACTTTTAAAAGATTGGCTAGAGCTCTCCTCCCACCTTCAGAATCTTCTAAATCGTGGCTCCCAGGCAGAAACGAATGAATGAATAAATGGCAGGGACAAACAGCAGAATGGCCCAGTGCTGCGCTGGAGCATTCAGTCAACCCCATTCTCCTTCAGTTAGCAGCACAGGAGTGGTGGTGAGGCTCTAGAACACCCCTGTGCCCAGAGGAAAGGGAATCTAAGGCACAGTACTGAAACCAGGATGGTGAAACCCAGCAGCCAGGGCAGGTCTGGGAAAGCAGAAGGCAGCCGTGGCAAAACATGCAGGACAGTTCCCAGGCCTGGTGTAGAATGTGCCTTGTGAGGTGCAGACATCAGAGCCAAACACTAAGTGGCTTCTGAGCCCCATTTCTGAGTTAGGCTCCACAGCATGTCCCTACACACCTCCCACCCCTTTCTCTTCATGTTCATGGTTGAGTTTGGGACTCATTTCTGACTACCCTGATTCACTACTCCTCTGACATTTTGAGGCAGCTTTGCCTTTTACTTTTTACCCCTGTCCCAACTGAAAAATATCTTTCCACAAGTGGAAACCTCTAACTCTGCTTCCTGGTAGCTTACTGTCACCTTCGCCTTTTGCTGGTCTTTATCTCAAAGTGACAAGCTTTGCCAGGATCACTGTGCTAGGCCAAGGGTGAACTCTCAATAACACATTGATGGATGGAATTTCCTTTCTCTAGTGCAGCCATTGGGTTTTGGTGGATTTTTTGGTTTTCTTTTGTGTGTGTGGAAAATGGGGTAAATTTGCTCCACTGATCTTAATCGCCCCTGTTGGACTCTTCCACAGATCGATGAAATCAACATCTATGGGAACACAGCACTTCACCTCGCCTGCTACAATGGGCAGGATGCTGTAGTTAATGAGCTGACTGACTATGGTGCTAATGTGAACCAGCCCAACAACAGCGGGTTCACCCCTTTACATTTTGCTGCGGCCTCCACACATGGTGCTCTGTGTCTTGAATTGTTAGTCAACAATGGAGCAGATGTTAACATCCAGGTATGGCACTCTTGGTCTCTACGTTAAATGCCTTTGCTCTGAGCCTGTGTTTGAGCAAAATCAACTGCTGTACGTTCAGTTTTAATGACGCATAGCTCTTGAATACCTTGACTGCCACAGCCCTATCCTGCATTGTGCTGCTATGGAAACACAACTCAACTCTGTTGTTTTTTGCAGGAGTTCTGATACCAATAGAAGGCTCTGAGCTTATAGTCGCATGCTCTTCATAGCTCAGTGAGTGTTCTAGAGCAAATACTGCATTTCAGGGATATTGACACAGCCCAGACTCTAAGACTAAATAAATGTTGAGCTGATAAAGCAAAGGTGCTAAGAATCAAAAGGAAAACCTAATCTAGTGATTTCGGGTTAATTCCCAAACCTGGCATGGCCCTCCAAGGAATTTCTCAATATTCTCTCTATAGTAGCCCTACTTAGTGGCTTCATGATGGACACAGATCTCTTCCTAACGATGATTCCTTTATTCAGCAAACTAAGCAAGGTTTTCCTAGTGCCTTCTGTTTATTACTGGGGGAGTTCCAATATGAGATAAGATCTTTGCCCCCAAAGAAGTTACAGTATGGTCAGGGGATAATGTAATTAGATAATCATGAGGCAAAAGAAAATGTGATGAGTGGCATGAGAGAGTAATAAAGTGTTGCATACAATAAAAGGCAAGGATTGACTTGTTTCTTACTTGGGATCAAAAATGGCAGCAGCTTTTGAGCTGAGACTTGAAAGATGGATATCAGTTGAAATGAGGAGCAAGAGAATTTGAAAGAGAGTATTCCAGATAGAGAGAGGATATTCCAGAGAGGTGGTAGTGAAGTATTCTTTCTTACCCTAAGAGACAGTAAATTTATCCTCAGCTTCCTGGCTTCTCAGGACACAAGAATCTGGAAACAAAGTCCCAATATCCTGTGTCTGCTTTTGAAAAATTATTTCCAAGATTTAAATTCAAGAATTTTGATCAACTGTTTTGATGCCTTCTCTTTTTACATTTTTTCCTTATAATTTCTAATAGTGGGGAAATATGGGACAAGTTTTCTGAACAGCAATTTGTTGTGATTGGATGGGTATAATCATATGAAAGAAAGGAGCCAGGAACAAGCTGAAATGTGATTTGACCATGAAAGAGGCTTACCTACTGGTTCAGGAGTTTGTCATGTGATTAAAACTGACTACTAGAAACCATGATCTGCTCATAGAACACCAGATAAAAACACAAAGGAAAAATTTCTATATATAACTACATAAAAACCAGGCCCTCCCCAGTGGCGCAGCAGGTTGAATGCAGTGCTGTGAAGCTGCCCACAGCCTGTGCAGTGTGAGTTTAATTCCCGGCTGGCCAGGGAGATTCCCACATGGCATGGCAGACCTCTCCTGTCTTACCCGCTGTTCCCCTCAGCAGTGTATTTTGGTTGTCTGCCTGTTCTATTCCCCACTCTATCTGGTGAATCCTCTCACACTCCTGCACCTCTGGCCTGTACCCCAGCTCTTATATATAAAAAAATAAATCTTTAAAATAAAATATAACTACATAAAAACTTTAAACTTTTATTGACAAACAAAACAATAAAAGGGGGAAAAACAAAAATCCTATCATAAAGTCAAAAGAGGAACAATTCAAGGAAATTTTTGTGCAATATTCATGATAAACAGAGAGCAATATGCTCAATGTATAAAGAGCTCATAAAAATCAGTAAGTCTGATGATAACCTACTAGAAAATATGGGAAAAGGCAGATCAGGAGGGGTTACAGTATCCATTAAATCTCTGAAAAAAATCAGTACAAAGTAATTAGATAAATATAAGCTAATGCATAATGTTAATACATTGATATTTGCTTATAAGACACTGGGTATACTAGCAAAAAGGCTGCTCATCAGTGAGAAAATTAAAATTCAATTAGTAAATATGATACAGTTTTTTAATTAAAAATGTTATGTGTTTCTGTGTATGCACAGAAAGGGGAAAAAAGAACTATTTTCATTTTTATAAAAAGAAAATTCAGGAATAGTTGGACCTAGAAGGAGGTCTAGTAGGGAATGACTGGAAGTCAGTAAAATTAGTCTAGATAAGAGGTCATAAGGACAGAGGACAACCAAGAGAATGGAGAGGCTTTGCAGAAGGGAGAGACTTGGAATAGAAAATCAAGTGATATATGGTTGGACTAGAGATAGAGGAGCTGAAAGCAAGTATAAGAATGGAAGCCTGGCTGAGAGAGGGAGTACAGAACAGTGGTTACATGTTTGTTTCTGGCACTGACATGGCTAGAATTCCAATCCTAGCTTTGACTTACAGGAATTGTATAATCTTAATCAACTTCTCTTTGTGTCTTAGTTTGCTTACTTGTAAAATCAGGCAAACAGTTGTATCTTCTTTATGGAAATGTCATGAGGAGTAAACAAGTTATATCACATAAATTGCTTAAAACAGTGTCTGCCAGACGATAAGCACTTGATAAACGATTATTGTTAGTAAGAGAGATGTCAGGAGAAAGAAAAAGACTTAGGAGGTAAAATTGATGAGCTTAGTTTTTGAGAAGCAAATATTGTGCCTTTTGTATAACTAGTGTAGGAGAACCAGTCATGGAAAATGTGAAATTCTGGCATGGAGAATGATAGAGAATAGAAGAAAAAAATTAGGCTGCCTCATTCATATGATTGATAGTTGAATTTGGGAGGAAGAGATGAGATCACCCAGAAGAACAGTACATGAAAGCATGAATAGAGAATGCCAGCAACCCATTGCACTTAGGATCAGGAGGAAGAACCAGAGAAAGTGATAATATGGAAGAGTTAGGATAGGAGGAAACTGGGGAGAATAGTGTCTTCATGAAGATAGAAAACAGGCAGAGGTGAAAAAAAAAAACAGAATAGAGATTTTCAGAGTTCCAGATCTTGTAAGTCAAGCCTATCCAAGGTCTTGGCGGAGGTTAGATGAAGGTGTTTGGGAGCACTACAGAGGCCAGGAACTGTGTCCCAAGGTGGGGAAAGAGTCATCTGTTGGGGTTGACATCACAGAGATAGTGGTGAGAGGACAGGAGGCTAGTAGGTGGTGAAATCATCAATGCCCCAAGATGGCTGGGCCACTCTCTAATCTAGCCACCCTGGTGTCTGTGGGGCATCTTGTGAATATCCAAAGAACAGAAAAATTTTGAAGTTAAATAAAGTAGCTTTCTTCACCAACCTCCACTTAATTAATTCACAGGGTTGTTTAATACTCTCCACTATCCCTGTAAAATATTGAAGTGATGCTCTCAGTGTGTCTGATACCAAGACTAGATGTCTGCTTTCTGGTCCACCTACCTGCTTCTCCCACTTGCCTGACTAGTGGTCAGCTCAGATTGGAGAAGAGGCTTCCCCTATATATGACACACTGGTTTGTAGAAACCTTCTTTTCTCCTCCACAAAATGGACCTGAAAAGCATATTTACCAAATTTTTAGTTATTGATTTCCCCAATAGACTGCTAATCATAAATAGAATATGAAAAATACTTTACAGAAATATGAGACTGGGATTTATTTTTCATCTGTGTACATGAATTTGAATCAAATCTAGCCTTCTCCCTCAGTCTCCCTTTATCTGCTCTGTCTACACTCTCCTATTTGCCAATTCTTTTTTAAAAATCTTTTTTAGTTTATCATGTTTTATTTATTATTAAATTTGACAGTTGTTTTCATGTCTGTATAACTTTGGGGTTACATTATTGCTCTTCCATGTTTGCAGGTTCATTCACCCTCTACCAAACCTCCCTTGCTGATGCCCTATTCCCACGCTCCCCATCCACTCTGCCACCCCTCCCCCACTTTCTCTAATAACCAGTATGTTTTCAACTAAGTCTTAGATTTTTTTGGCTGTATATGTTTTTTTGTTGTTGTTATCTATATTCCAAAGATAAGTAAAACCATCCAATAGCTGTCTTTCACTTTCTGACTTATTTCACTTAGCTTAATTACCTCAACATCCACCCATTTTGTCCCAAAGGCACTATTTCTTTTTTCTTCTTCTTGAATCCCCCTTCGTTATTCCCAGGGCACTGTGGATACACGGATCATCTAACATTTCCGTAGTCATTCTGTCTGACCCTGGAGGTAGTTTTCTAATTGAAGTTGTTATCTCTCTGTACCACATTGCTCTGTGGATTTTGAAAGTGTTTGTAGATTGCAAGACAGTTTCTGTTTGTTTAGATTTTTCAAAGTTTGAGGGAAATAGCATATTGAAATGTAGCCAATACCTACCCACATATTCCCTTTTTTTTTTCCTCTATCCTTACAATAAGTGATATCTTCATGAGCAATTACAAAGAGATAAAGAAAGGAGAAAGGATATGTGTTGATACATTATACAATCCCTCATTTTTGCCTACATTGACCTAGGCCCTATCTTTAACTATTAATATTAGTTTAGTTGTGATAAAATAATGAAGGTTCACTTGTATTTTGCAAATAAGAAGAAAAGGATGTAAATACAAATTTTATTTTCCATTACAGATCACATTGTAATTATTGTAGTATCTCAAAAGTCTTTTTGGAAGCATTCGAAGTAAATGCTTAAGAGGGCCCTGAACATGTAGCCGTGCTGGATACAACTTCGAAAACGATTCAGAAATTGTCACTGCTAGGTTGCCTACTTCCTGGCCACTAACATTCAGCCTGCCCATGGTCTCAATTCTTTTTCATCTGTGCACTCTTAATTCCTTTAGCCCTAAGAGAGCAGAGCTGAAGCTCATGTCATGTCTACTGAAGTGGTCCAGCTCCCTTCTTTATACATACCGTGATCAAATTATAAAAAGGGCCGTATTGCAGAGGTTGAAGGCAAAACTGGAATAGCTCACAGTAAGCACTAAAAGGGATATAGCACTTGGAATTTGGGAGAGGAAGTGAGGAAAGGAGGGAATGAATGTTTGAGCCAACTATGGACCCACTCTGGCCTTAGAACTATTTTTTAAAAATGGACTATGTATAGTTTTTTCAAGCCAGGGTTTTAGACTATTCTTCCATTGAATTAGGAAACCCTTTTGGCTTTGACTGTATGTGACCCTCCCCATGTCTAGCCCCACATCTGGCCCTACGCTGACCTTAGTATTATCCTTTATGGCCTCCAGTGGGACCTCTGAGCTGTACGACTTCACAAGGTATTGTGCTATAGAGCACACAGGCTTCACATTTCTGAGGAGTAACAATATCTGTAAGTTTAGGGATATTGGAGGATAAGAAAAATTGAATGGAAGGGGAAAAAATGCATTTCTGAGGAGAATAGTGGTCAAAATATTGATATGCTCCATTAGCTCAAGGACTAATCTTCTTTAGATGTTATTAAATTCTGCTTTAAAAGAGTACTAATATGGAAACTTTCTAGGTAGAAAATGAATCACAGGATCTTTAGTCTCAACGTTAACATTCTTATTCTTGTAAAAGACTAAATAAAAAGTATTGTCCTTTTTATCTCCATTAATTTTCAGTGACTTTTTGAAATAATTCACTTTACACCCATACCATATAAACAAAGCTGATCCAAAGTGGCCTCATTGATACTCTTAATGCTTTTTGTCCCTCTGTCCCCCACCTCCTACTGCCCATATCCCTATGAGGAAAAAATAAAAAAATAAAAAAGCTAAGACCTGGACACAATAGTAGGTGAACCCAGGCAAAGATCCACAAGATAGATCTGAATGCAAGCATTACCCCCGATCACATAGCCATCTTTTGCATTTTACCATCTTTATTTGTCTCTTTACTAAAGGTACAACATTCAAAGGAAGGAAAAGGTGTGGTGCTTGCCATCCCTGAAATGGGACAAACTTTGTAAATTATACTCCACAGAAACCAGTTACTTATCCCTAACTCTGCCTGCAATTTAGGTAGCGACCACCAGGTTGGTGGTTACTCCTTGGTGAAGCCTTTAAGCTCTTCTCTAGACATAGGAAAATGAGTAAATATTTATAAAGATATTTCCTAAACACTGAAATAGTTGAAGCTTTATATCTATTGAACTGAATGCTAATTTGTTATACTTTCATATTAAATCTAAGAGAAAATATATTGGAGCAAAATTTAAAGAAATAGCACCACCTAGGGACAAGTAACAGTCAACTGCAATTTCTTTTTTTCTAAGAGTCCAGGACTTCCCATTATTTTTTTATTGGAGGGAGTAAGTTTTAAATCATGATTGCTATGTAGTTCTCAGGCCATTCAGTTCTGTGAACAGTCTATAGTTCTGAAAATCAAGACCCAGATTCTGGCACCAGCTTTTGGAAGCTCTCCTCCACCATTTGTCTGTGGTCAGCGATGGCATCTTAGCTACATTCTCTTGATTGCTGTTCCCTTTTCTTTAAAAAATATCATTTTAGTAAAACTTCAAGCTTAATTCTGTCTTCCTTTCTCAACATTTTCTGATTCAGATTATAACCATACAAAATGAAGAAAAGGATCCTCTCCCTGCCCCCAACCCCCATCTACCTAAAAACCTTTCACTATGAGAATTATATTTTCAATCAAGATACATCTACCACTCTGATGAACTCTTCCCTTGGCACAGACTAGACACAACTACCTTTTATAAAGAATGGACTTAAATGACATAAAAAATTTTCCTGTTAAAATCTTGTGGCTTTATAAGCTACTTGAGCTCACAGTCTGAAATTTACTGTGCCGTGCAAGTCTGAAATGAGGCTTCCTTTAGCATAATTCTGATTCTAGGTTGGGGCACAGAATTCATATTTATAATAAGAATCTCTGGGTGATTTTGATGCAGGTAGTCCTTGCTTCACTCTGAGAAATACTTATTTAAAAGAATATTTGTTGGGCCTCCCCTGGTGGCGCAGCGGTTGAGTGCTGGGCTGCAAGGCTGCCCGCAGCCTCTGCAGCACGGGTTCATTCCCCAGCCGCCAGCGAGGGTCCCACAAAAAAAAAAAAAAAAAAAAAAAAAAAAGAATATTTGTTTCCTGCTGCAGAGCTTCTAAAACAGAGTCATTTTAAAGCATAAGTATTTGGATTGCATCACAAAAATGAGCTTGCATTTTTGAAACTTCATGTTTTAACCTTAGACTTAAGATAATGTTTCTACTGAGACTTAGAAAAATAACAGTAATGTAAGTGGTTTGTTTTCTTACAACACTTAAATAATACGTTCTCTCTTTTGAGTATGCTTTTGCTCTAAAATAACAGTAGTATCTTTGGGTATTACTATTTTTAGATAAAATTCTGTAAATAACTGTGTCTTAATTAAATCTGTAGGACTTTAGTATTTTGTATATTGATCTCCCGCACACATATAAATATGTTGTATATATGTTTCATGTTTTGGCTTAATATGTGCCAGGAAGTTCAATTATTTGCATCTTAGATAATAAAGGGGGTACTAGAAATTCAATACACATTTCTAGGTGATCATTAAAATGTCAGCTTGCTGAGCAGTTTTATACTATAATCCTGTGATTTCTAATTAGTTAAATGAAGCAAACAGTTCTTTTTTGGAGCAATCGAAAGTGTTATTTTTCTGTGAATTAGAGTGTAGGGGATGGGAGAGTGTTCCTTGTCAGTTTTGAGAGTTGTGGTAATTTATGGCACTTTAGTCAAAAAGGACCAAACAATTTAACATATCATTTGTCCCTTTTCAATGTACTGTAGACAAAAATAAAAACAAATATCTCCTTCAGTAGATCACCAGAGAGGAAAAAATATTTTGAGTGATTTCTTCAGATTGAAACAGGATGGTTTAAAATTTGTCAGTGTAACTGGAAGTGTTGCGTGTCTTCTCTGAAATAATTTTCACTTCTCTAAGTTTTTAAAAATGTGATATTAGACAATAACTTAAGATTTCATGTATGCTTTATCTGTTGCTTTAAAAATTATCTTTTTGCTTTTCTAATGTTTTATTATACTTCTAGAAAAAATTTAAATTGATGTTTTCAAGGCTTTGCTAGAGGTATCATAGGGTGATTTCACTGATCCGTTGCATCTCTGTCCCCCTTTTAGAGTAAAGATGGCAAAAGTCCACTGCACATGACAGCCGTCCATGGGCGTTTCACACGGTCACAAACCCTCATTCAGAACGGTAAGAGGTTTTCCCACAGCATCATTATTTGAACAGTTTCCTGATCTGACTGAATGTGACTGTCAGTCATCTGAATGTGAAAGATGGTCTACTCTTTTGGAGTTTATAAAACTTGAACTTACATAGTCCTTTGATGTATTTGACTAAAAGCTCTTTATCAGACATATCATTACCCAGCCTAGGAGTGAGAACATAATGCCACTAAGTTTTTCAGTCAATTCCCAGTCAGTCAAAGACTATGTGAATTTTGAAACTGGAAATGATATACTTATCCAGGCTCAAGATCCTGCACTTTTCACTGTGAAATTAATAAAAAGAAGTTTTATCAGCAAATCTGTGTTTTTTTTTAAGTCTAGAATTCGCCATAGTTTCTTAAACTAAAACCATTAAGCTACTTGGGCAAAGGTAGGAAGAATGAGTTGACTCAGAGGGAAAGCAGGTAAGTAAATGATAAAAGGACTATAAAATCACAGGCTTGATAGAGAGCTTGGAAAATTACATCATCCAGTAATTTTCCAGTCTTACAACAGAGGTCTACGTGGACCATGGAGCAATTCTGTAGCCAGGGGCTATCATTCATGTCACGGTTCACCTTACTCTTTGCAGGTCATGACCAGGATGTGTGAGTGGATTGACCTTGACCACGTAACTTCTGTTATCTTAGCAAAGCTTAAAGACAATCCAAAACACAGGTTTAGTCCAAAGTTTGTTTCAGTTCAGCAGTTCTGAAACTATCTTTAGTTGACCCACATTTCTACTTTTCAAAATTCTATTAGTCAGTTTAGCCCTCTTTTCTCCCCTCATCTCAAGAATTTTGGACTACATACATTTCAATTGTTAGTGGTACTATTAATGTCTTAGGCACTTAAATCATAAAACCAAAAAGTTATTTGACATTTGAAGACCAGCCAGTACAGTTATACTTAGGAAGCAAAATATCTGAGGCAAAGCAAGGAAATTTAGAAGCATTTCAGTAAAGCTGTAGAGGAGAGAAATCCTCACAAGTTTCCAATAAGCCATGGGAGGCAAAATGGAAATTAACTCTATAGCACCCATTAATTCTAATTTAAAATATATGGTATGCCTTTGACATTCACTTTATTGAAAGGGCCATTTTGTTTTATTTTGGTTGAAGTAAAGAAGGTGGGGGTGGGTAGAGAGTGACACTAATGACTTTCTTTTGTCTACTTTCCTCATCTCATTATATTTCCTAACTGGCTTTCTGAAGCAAATCTGCCATCTTAAAAAATAAACAAAAATAGATATTTGGTATCTATTATTTTTAATTTAATGTGAAGTTAATCAATGGGCCTTAGCTCTGTGGCATAAAAATCTTCATTCCCGGTTAAAGCAATTTCAAGCACCAGTGATCAGATCAAAGAAAGAGCAATTTTTCACCTTGTAAGCACTGCCTTCCTACAGGTCCATCCCTCTGGGCCAGAACTTACTGGCCATTGCCTTTGAATCAGGTCACGACACATCTCCCCTGCATTATGCCAGTGTGGTTACATAAGTCCTGGGGGCTGCTGGCTGCTTTGAACTCTCCAAAAGTTATCCCTGAGGGCTCAAAGACTTCCATACCTCCTCCATATACTTTCGTTAGACTTTGATTTGAGACAAGACCTGAAAGAGACCCCATACCTTGTCCTTTGTGATCAAAGAACTTGTTTCAGAGTCAGTCTCCTTCTTGGCTGGACTGGCATTTTGCTTGTGGTATTTGATGGGGTTTAAGATACAAAGTTATGAGGATATTGTGGCTATAGTATATAGTCCATTATCTGTAATATCAAAGCTAGCATTGGTTGAATGTTCACACTGTGCCAGGCACCTGGCTAAGCACGCAACATAAATCCTTTCAGCCGCCTCATGAGAAAGAAGTACTGTGATTGCCTCCATTTTAAAGATGGGGAAACTGAGGCAGTGAGCTTGTCACTTCTATTAGGATACATGGCAAGCATGAGGAGGAACAGGGATTGAATTCCAAGCTATCTAACATCAAAGGCTGAACTCTCAACAAATACACTTAGAAACTTGTTTAACCTTTTTTGAAACTTGAGTTCTGTTTACTCCAAGAGTCACTAATATTTGGAATAGGGGTGTCCCTGTAAAAGGATGATTTAGCATTTTCTTCCTTTAGCTGACAGTTCTGTGCATTCACTGTACATATAAGAACTTCAAGTTTTTACCTTTGATATTAAAAAAAAAAAAAAAAACTGCCCTCGGAGTTTTCCTCTTGTTTTTCGGCTTCCTTCTGGGAAAAAATCCAGAGATATACTACCCCCAGGCCTGGTGTCTATCCTTCAGAGTGGGTCAGTGCCCAATAGGACCTGGATTGTTGGTTTCACATGGGGGTCATGGATTGGTTCCCTAAAACAACTGAATGTGCTACTGAAGAACATTCTCTTTATTTGTTTTGTTAAATAAGTATGGTGTCTGGCCTTCGTAGCATTTCTTTGCTTCTCTTACTGTTCTCACATGAGGGTTATTTGTTCTTCATAACTGCATTTTCTTAAGTTAGTCATCCTTGGTAAGATAATCATTTTAAAAAGCAACTCTTTATTTTAGTTATTAAGTATAGACTGCCTCTGCTGCTCAAATATTTTGTTTGTTGTCACAACCAGAAAGGGAAATAACTGGATGGACACAGGATAGTATAAGGTTCATTGATCCGGCCATTGGCAGGGGGCAACTGTCTCAGATGCAGTCCAGCAGGTTACAAAAGTTCAGAAATGATGTTTTCTTCACAGGAATTTTAAAAATAGAGTTTGAAAAAGAGTCAAGTGATAATTTAGGATGAGTTATGGTGAGATTTTTGAACTTTTAGCTCATAATTCTTCTACAAAACTTAATAAGCTGACCATTTTTGTTTGTGCAATGAAAACGTATCAGATGAATGCTTAGGTAATACTGTGTAAGTTAGCGCTTTTGACATGCTCTTCATACTTCTAAACTCAGAAATGTTTATTTTCCTCACTAATTATCAGTGATTGATTACCAACATTACCAACCCGAAGAATAGTAAAGATATTTAATTTGTTTTTCCAAGCAAATCTTAAAATTTTTTCAAGAGAAAGTGGAATAGTTTCAGTACTATAGAGATTCATTTATCTGAAGATCCTACTTCAATATAAAACTAATTTTTGAATAACAAATATAGTCTAGTAAGTTACATTTATCTGAAATTAAATTTAAATGACAAGGGCATACACAGAAGATATTTATAATTACACTTCTAAATTGACTTATAAAATGATGCTAACAACAACAAAAAATTTTGTAAGATCAGCCATTCTGCTTTACCCTTTCCAATATTTTTTATTCTTTTCTTTCCTTACCCAATTTTTGGTATGTTTGAAGCTGGTAAACACAAAGGCCCTTAACACTTTTTAAGAAATGTTTAGAGGCTTTTGACTGGGAAAGACATGGAGTGATGTAGTGTTTGTCCAAGGCAAAGGATTCTCTGAAGTCTGGGATTTTTGCCTCTCATATCTCTCCAATCAGCTCTATGAGTGAACATTTCAGAGCAACTACATAGGGACAGTTCTTAGACATAAATATGTACCCTGGACTGCTTTGAGGTATCCATACAGAACTGACCCAAGTATACTCCCCAGTCATAAAAATAATTGATCTAAGTTGATGCTTCTAAATTCAGACCAGAGTAAACTAATATCAAATCCCTAGATCTTAATAACTAATTTTATTACTCTTTATTATAAAGTTATTACCTGCTCATTGTAAAATAAAATTAAATCATTGAAGAGATTCTCCATTACCCACACCAGAGTGTCTTCCAACCCTATCCCAAGAATTTCTATTGACAATTTGATAAAACTTCAGATCTTTCTATGCATTTGGAAGATAGGTAGGTAGGCAGGCAGGTAGGTAGGTAGATGTGTAATTATTATTATGATGATGTCCACAGAAATAGTTATAGTATTTTTATTTTAGCACTGATTTTTAAAATAACTGCCATATCATAGAAATAAAGATTTGAGAAAAGATTGACATTTGTATTCAAGTTGCATTTTATATTTCTCTGTCACAAAGTGAAAAAGGGATTACCTTTACAAACATTTGCAAACTCCAAATGTGCAAACTTATTGGCAGATTGATTTTTCAAGTTAAATTCTACAAGTTAGAAGTCTTGGCTGTAGAGTAAAGCCTCTTAAATCCTGAGTAAATATATGTGTTAATCATAGTTTTTGAAGCATTTGTCCCTTTATACATATTTGGTAATTATCTCTTTATTCTGTGCAGAGATACTTATTTACTAATTCTATATTTTACCTTAAACTTAGCTAGAAAAATAATATTGTTTGTTGAAAATTAATCTTAAGGAGCCAGAAGTCATAATGACCAGTAGTAGAATTCACTAGAATGAAGGGTCATAAAGATATTATTATGAAGATGTTATATTGATACTATTAAAAGAAACTGTATTCTGGCCTGGAAGTTAATGCTCTTCAATGGCTTCTTTTTGGGTAGTGCTCAAATATACTGCTAATGGCAAGTAAATGGGCACACACTTTCTCAGAAGCAATTTGCTATGGCTTATCAAGGATCTTAAAAACATTCATTCTTTTGATCTAGTATATCTATTTCTAAAAATGTTGCTGAAGGAAATCATCTGAAATGTAGAAAGATATTTATAAATATTCTTGTTTTCCTTAGTGGTAAAATTTGGGCTTAGTTTAATGCCTAGTAATTGGAGCCTTGTTAGCAAACTCTCTATATTCCAAAAATATATAGCCATTTACAGTTACATTAATGACATTGCAAGTATTTGTAATGTAATCATATGAGGAAAGCAGGATATAAAACTCTTTCTACACTATGATCTCAACCATGGGAAATTTACACACACACACACACACACACACACACCCCTGGAAGAAAATATTCTAGAGTATTATATGACTTAGTGAATTTTTACGTGTCTTCTATTTTCTTCCTTATTTTTCACTGAATCTCTACATTTTCTACAGTGAGAAAATTATTTTCTGAATCTGAAATGTTGTTTAAAACAAATGTATAATATCTTTCTTGATTCATCTAAATTTCATATAATATTTACATTTCTCAAGATTTTACTTTTTTTTCTGGCATATATAGATGTCTGTATATAGTTTAGATATATAAACTAAGCAGGATAGTATTAGTATATCTTATAATGGCATATTTTAGTTTTTAAATATCAGTTTACTTTTAGTTTACTATGTTGATAATGAGAATAAATCTCAAGAGTTGGAGCAAATATACAGAATATTTGTGTAACAAAATTTTCTAATGTGACCTACTTTAAAAAAAACCTTAGGTCTAAGAGCATGAGCTGACAATTCAATACCTTACTGTTTCCCATAATGATGGAGAGATGTGTTTTTTAATAGTATAGCCTTGAACTAGAACCTCAAACTAACTTATATTCTGTGCCCCCAATATACTGGGTGATTTCTTTTATTTGAGTAGAAGTGGATATTAGCTTATACAAAGATATGAATGTTCTATGTATTTTTCTCCTTAGTGTGCTTCCCTTTCCTTTACTTCCTCACCCTTTTCTACAGCTGGCTTCAGACACTTCCTTTTTAATTGAGACATAATTCATACCACAAAAATCACCAGTTAAAGTGTACAATTCAGTGGATTTTAGAATTTTCACAAGGCTTGACAATCATCACTGTTCTCTAATTGCAGAACATTTTCATTACCCCCTAAAAAACCTTATACCTGTTCACAGTCACTTCCCCTTCCTTGATTCCTTCTTATTCCTTGATTTTCAAGGCTCTTAATATATTTGGGAGATTCTATTATAGTAATACATGTTGCAAATATTTTCAAAATGTGTCGATTACTTTTTTTTCAGGATGTGGGGAAAGCCTTTCTAACTATAGCTAAAAATCTAAATACTATAAAAGAATGATAAATGAAATAAATTTTTTTCCAAGGTACAAACACCAACAATAAGTGAAAATCTGGGGGAGGGGAGTGATAATTGCATTATGCATTACTGACAAATGGGTAATCTCCTAAATAATTAAGTATTTTAAGAGTCCTTGAAAATCAAGGAATAAAAGAACACATCCGCCTTAGAAAAATTGACAAAATCCATGAACAAATAGTTCATAAGAAAAAATAAACAATTGTTCCATCAATATATGAAAAGATGCTTAACTTCTTAATAAGATAAATGCAAATGAAAACTACACTAAGACATCAATTCTCGCCCGTCAGATGGCAGATATTCAAAAGCTTGACAAGGTTGTGAGGAAAAGGCACTCTCCTACATAGCTCATAATAGTGCAAAATTGTGCAGCACCTAGAGAGAGGAATCTGGCAAAGCTGCTTATTCATTTACCCTTTGGTCTAGAAATCCCCTTTCTAGGAATTTACCCTGAAAAAACCTATGTGTGAGACTGTTAACTATAGCATTCCTGATGATAGCAAAATGTTTATACCTTATCCTTATGTTATCCTGAATTAAAATATCTTTTTCAGGAGGTGAAATTGACTGTGTGGATAAAGATGGCAACACCCCTCTCCATGTGGCTGCAAGATACGGTCATGAGCTTTTGATTAACACCTTAATAACCAGTGGAGCTGACACAGCCAAGTAGGTTACTGCAAAAATATAGTGGAATAATTGCCACATATGGGAATACTGCCAAAAGAATTCTGCCCTGCAGTAGATAGTTCCCATTTATCCAGGTTAAGGTGGATTTGTACCATTATGCTAACCACAAATTAAACTTGAAATAAATTAAGTGACTTTTGGTGACAGATATAAGGAAGAGCCAATTTTATTTTTCAGCTACATCAGAAAGAGGGCTATTTTAGTGGTCTTGATGAAGAACACTTTAATTTTGCTGTTAACTCTGCTTTCTAAAATCTGTTTTTCCAATGTTCAATGTTAGTTAAGTAGGATAAAGAAAGATAATTGGGTAAATTCAGAATTTATTCAGGATGATTGCTTAGTTTTAAAGATGGGGTTATGGGGTACAATTGAGTCAATCTGCTACATAGTAAAGAGGGTCCTGACTTCACACTTCAACAAAAAGCAAGAAGGCATCTATACAAGTCTGTCACAATGCTGTGTGCTATGGAAATTTCACAAGTAAGTCATCTGGTTGGTACCTTCAAGGACCTCATGATTTTTTGGCAGCCTAGAGGCCACCGATGACAAAGAACCATACAGTATAGTATATAATAAAGTTCTAAATGATACAGGACTTTTGTGGCAAAATGTTTGGTGTAGACAATATATGCCATAGAGTACAGACAGGAAGAGTGAGCTCAGAGGTGACCAGAGGTTTTAGAACAGATTTCGAAGAAAAGATAGTTTTAGGTAGACTTTGAAGGATGAGATTTATTTGAGTAGAGGAGAGGGTGGCAGACGTTCCATGAAGGAAGGAAAGCAGGGACATGAGAAAAGAGGGCCCAACTCTGGCACGAGCTTGGTCTGACAGAGTAGAATGTTTGTGAAGAAGTTAGAGGCAGTTGGGAGCCCAGGCTTTCAGGGGCATCTACTTTGGATGTAACCCAAGTTACCACACTAGTGAACTGTACGACTTTGAACCTGTTGCTCAATCTCTCTGTGCTTTGATTTCCTTTGAAATATGGGAGTAATAATAGTAACTATCCATAAATTTGTTCTGAGGATTAAATGACTTAATTACTGGTAAAGCTCTCTGGAATATAAAGATTGGTATGAGTTGTGTAAATATATCAGCTAAGGCTATTAAGATAATCCATGTTAAAATCTCTTTGAACAGTGCCTGGCACCTGGTAAGTTATCAATAAAGGTTAACTATTATTTTATTATTTAATATGTGTAGAACTAAATTAAAGAGGACCTTAAGTGCATTAAACCTTGATCATAGAGACTGGGGTCAACAGTAACTGAAATTTCAGAAGGAAAGTGTGACGACACTGTTATATTAGGATTCTATTTTATTTGCCAGGTGTGCAACAGAATCGAAAACCTTGCTTGAGAGTAAGCCAATGTTTAAATGGTTGAGGGAATCAGTGGTGGAATCATGTTTTAAATCAAGTTCATAGTGATTGGAATTCTGGACTTGAAGTGCATTTTATGGAGCACTCTTGTGGATTTTGTAGTACATGGTGATTTCATTAGTTCAACATTAAGTTCCATTTGGGTACAGTAACCTTGTGAGCTGTGGTCTGGTCTTGGAAATAAGGTTAAGAGCAAATGACTGCATTATCATGAAGTTTGTTTATAATTGGGGTTTGGATCAGGCTTTGGGAACGGTAAGGGAAACACTGACTCTCTGGGTTCCCCAGAAGTGGTAACATTTCAGAAAAAGGAAGAATAGATAGGAGTTTACTAGATGGACAGATTGTATGAGGTGAAAAGATAGAGGGGAAAGTAAGGCAGTACATTCCAGGAAGAGAACAATAATTACAAAGGCACAAACATATGAACATGTTAAGCGCAGATTTTCTAAGACTGGATTTTCTGATGTGTGTGGGGGTTGGGGGGGGAAGGGAGCAGGAGCGATGAATGGTACTACAAAGAACTGAGGTGGAAAGGCAGGAAGCACCACATCTCAAGGTCCTTGCATGCCTGCTAAGGAGCTGGATTTCATTCCAAGACATTCAGAAACCATTAAAGAATTATAAGTGGGTGTAGGGTAGGTTGTGTCTAATGATCCCATTTGTGTGTAAGAAAGATTCCTCTGATAGCAATCCAGACATGTTGGAGGTGGTCCAGACTAGAAACACTTGGCAGCCTCTTGAAAATATCCAGGGAAGAAAAGATGAGGGCTTGGAATAAGGACAAGGAGGAGGGCAATGCTGACAAATAGTAGGAGCTGTGGGGTATCTCCTTTCAGAAGAATTCCTTTCACACCAGAGGACCTTTTAGGATGTTGCAAGTTAAAAGAATGGATACACTTTGTGAAACAAAAACTATGCTAAAATTCACTGCTAGATTCTAACATTTCCAACCAGATCATCGCCCTCCAAATAGAGAGGTCATTAATGCTCAATGTTAATTAAGCAGAAGTAAAATAGCTAGGCACAAATCTGCTTCATCTATGACATGTTAATATATTCAGAGGTATTTTTCTTTCAGTTCTGGGTTACTAGGGGAGCTTTAATCAATCAACCACAAATTTCTGATTTTCTTTCAGATTTTAATCCATTTGAAGGATAAAGATAAACCGAACCCAATACTTACTAAAAACTTCCAAACACATGTAACTCGATAAACACACTTTATTTCCTCAAAATTATTTTACTTTCACTTATGTAAACACAAATCATGGAGCAAAAGTGCCCTAGAAATGGCATTGTCTTTCAAGTAGTCTTTCCTTCCATTGACTGTGCTGTGTCCTGGGGATACTAAGAAGGGGACATTGTCCCAGCCTCAAAGAACCACATCTGCTTTCTTTTGTCACAAGATATCTGGGAATTGGACATATTCCCTTTAGAAACTGTGGGCTATTAGATTGTGTGTGTGTGTGTGTGTGTGTGTGTGTGTGTGTGTGTGTGTGAAGGGAAGTCACCTAAGGGGAAAATATCAAAATGAGAGGGAGGTGGGACCTCCCTGGTAGCCTAGGGGTTAAGTCTCACAGCTATCACTGCTGTGGCCTGAGTTCTATCCCCACCCAGGCAGCTGACCCACATGGTGCAGCAGACCTCTCCTGTCTCCCCTCAGCAGTATATTTCAGTGGATATGCTTGTTCTGCTCCCCTGATTGTTCTGCTTGTCCTGCTTCCTCTGGCGAATCCTCTTACTGCTTGCATCCCAGTTCGTCTATGCAAAATAAATTTAAAATACTAAAAAAAATGATTAAAGATTAAATTTGTTAACCCTTGCCCTCCTTCCCTCCCTCCCTCCATCACTGTTGTCTGTACTCATTATAGTTTTGTGCAGCGTTGCTTATTAAAGAGGAGAAAAACAGACTTTTCTTTCTATAAATAAATGAATAAGCAAAGAACATTTATTAAAATGATGTGTTTTTATTAATGAAGTCTATGGCCAAAAGTATTTTGCCAGCTCTTTGTGTGAAGAGTTTTCTGGCCATTGCTTTCTTATGAATTTTTTTGAATCTTATTCTCTCAGGCCTTTGATATTCTTTTTGCTCCTCTGACCTTTAAGTCAGAGCAGTTTCTGCATCTCCACTCATTGCTTATACAATTTCATGTGGCTTTAAAGTCCTTTGATTTTTTCTTCTTTAACTTGAGTTAAAGAATTTGCTTTTCGCCTTCCCAAGTTCTGTTCTCACTTCATTTTCTGCCTTCACTGCAGGAAGAATAGGGATATTATGGTTATTTAGGTGACTAGTTCAGGCATCCATTCATTCACTAAATGTGAAGGCCTGTTAAGTAACCCCCAAGTTCTGGGGTTACAGAGGTTCCTGCCATAAAGGAGTTTATCATCCATTGGGAGCAAGAGTTAAACAAAAGATTATCATGCATGCTAAGTGTGATGGTAGAACAATTGCTGGGTGCCTCTGGGATATAGGAGAATATATCTGGAGCAGGGGTCAAGCAAAGCCAGGTCCTGAAGGGACCTTGTAAGTCACTTTAGTGTTTGGACTTGTTTTAAAAGGAACTACTGAAATGTCTGTATATTGCAAAAAGTGAGGGCTAGGCCTCATTGTTGTCAGTTTTACCTAATCACTTGTAACTTCAAGTGCATGATAAGTACTTGGAGTGACATGAAATTGTTTTTGTGATTTGGGTTGATCAGTCAAATAAGAGTCATAAAACTTCGATCATCATATGTTTTTGTCTTGCCCACTTAGTGAGCAAAACTAAACCCAATTCCACCTTCCTCAGGAGAGTTGTGAGATTTATAGAGGATTTTGAAACATAGAAAGAAAACAGAAATGCTGCCTGATCCCAATTCACTTTTGACTTCTAAGGAGTTCAACAGCTGATTTTAAGGAAGCACAACCTTAAAATTACAACTTCAGAACTCACAGAGTGCTGATGATCCCATGAAATTAATAACAGCAAGGGCAATACTACTACCCACTTGTGTGGTGACATGGCCCAGCTGCTTTCTTTGGCACTTTGTGTACATTATCTCAATTAGTCCTTACAGTTGCTCTGTAAAATTGATACTCTTGTTATCTCTGTTTTCTGGATGAGGGAACCATTATCTACTTGATGAGGAAGAAAGAGCTAGGACAGGGCAAAACTGGACTCAAACCTAAAGTTTCTGACCCCATTACCTTAGCCTTAGCATTTTTTACCATACAGCCTGAGAAAAGCTCTAGAGAAGACTAGATGTGGGAAGGGACAGTCATGTCTCCCTGGTGCCAAAGGGAAAGCTTAAAAGAACTGATATTCTAATGTTACGAAAACCCTTTCCTCACCTCTCATAGCCTCTGCAATTTATTCTGGCCTCATTTATTCTGAAATAACTGGGTAGGAGATGCCAGCTAATAGCTAAATTAGAAATACCTAATACAAATGTATTCCATTAATTTTATGACTGGTCAAATAAATGTAGCAATTTAACTGGAATTGGTCTCTTCTTCCCTATAATTTATGCATTGTTAAGTTTAGTGTTATCTGACATCTTTATTTCTTGGTCTTTGATGTATACCTGATGAGTTAAGAGTGATGCTTTTTATTTGACCAGGACAGTCAAATCCTAATTTTCCTGCTAAAAGTTTTATGATCCTTCCTTTATGAACAGTCTTATTTTTATAACAATAAGGGAGTGATTTTATTTTGAAAATGCAACTCATTTCTGAAGTGATTCAGATTCTGAACTCTACTTTTATTTTCTTTCCAATCTTGGCCTATTTGAACCATAACTTCATATTCAAGTTCACATGCCAGTAATATTTGAGTTCAGATAACCTACACTGAGGTGACAAATTTTTATTAGCTATGGAATAAAAATGTGTATCAAAAGTTTTTGCTAGATATTTTAAATTAGAGTAGTGCCATCTGCTCACATTTGTAAACAGCAGTGGGCAAAAAAGGAAAGATTCAGCTAATGTAGAGTATGATAAATTATCTAAAGACAGTGGTATTAAGTTACAAGGCTAATTAGAAGTATTGATGATGAAGTTTATGGACTATATTACAATACTATTATTATTATACTATCACTTATCCTTCTTATGTTTTTTCCAATTGATTTCTTATAGAGTTTGGTTCTGTTTTCTCTAGTTAATATGCTTGTATTGATAAAAGATAAATATTTTGTGTATCTTTAGAAAATATATATTCATATGTATATATACATCACATACATGTAAATAAATGTGTACATATGTATCTATTTCTGTGTACCTATATGTATGTATTTACACATATATTTAAAGAATGAGGATGTGGTCAAGAAATTTTAAGAAATTCTGTACTTGATTTCAGGCATTCTTTCATGAACTGAAAAAACCCTAGAAAATATTTAATCCATTTTCCTCTTCTAAATGTCCAGAGATATTTAATCATATATTTTGCATTAGATCCCCCAAACAAATTAAATGGTCAGATGAAGTAACATTAACTTAAAATTCCATTTAGTAAGGAATGTTGAAAACATTAAACAAAAATTAGTAAAAATATAAATAGCAGCATAAATAGGAATGCTTCCTTCTCATCCCCCAACTTTCTCTTCCTTTCCATGAGCATTGAGGTTGTCACTGATACAATTGCTTTCCATGCTTTTTTTTTCTGTAAATGATGAGAGAGGCAATTAGAAGCAGTTCTCCTCCACATGACACTGCCCCGAAGATGGGCAAATTGCATCTCTTGATGGATGCCGGCTATTATATACACTGGGCTGGGAATCTCCATATAGGGAAAGGAAAGTGAACAGAGCAAAGATGGAACAAAAACACCAATAAATACAAGTTTTCATGGAAAAGATGTGGTTAATTGCTGGCAATTCGGATTTTGAAGAACACTGAATATCATGAAATATCTGTGAATAAGCGTATACTTTCACACACATCGTAATAATTTTTGAGACAGACAATAAAATTCTTGTGTCTAAAGCTTAACAAATTCAAATCATATATGTGTATTTTATGAGGCATAGAATCTGTAACCAAGTCACTTTATGCCAAAGAAACAAGTAATTAATGCTGGTATAAATAGATGTAGTTCTCTACATGCTGTATGCAGAGGATTTACAAAATTTGAAATACATTATTTGAATAAAGTGAGATGTTATGAGAAGTGATCACTAACATAAATGCTTATAAATACACAAGAACCAGTGATGATGCTGTTTGTTATGAACTACAATTCAGCACATGGCTTTGGGTCCTTGTTCCAGAAGAGGTGATAGGCAAGAGGAGGATTAGATTGCCTGGAGTCCTATAAGGGATTATTTAGGAGAGTGTTTTATGGTGGGGCATCTGCCTGGAAAGTCCTTTGCTAGATTTTTTCTGTAATATAGTTGAGGAAAATATGATAGATTTATGAAAATATACAAAATATTTATTACTCCTATGTTTTTGAGGCTCATATCTGCATGTGGGTTAATGTACAATGCAAAAATTTATTAGGGAGATGAATTTTCACCTGCAAAGGTAAACGTTAGTTTCTAGTCTCCAAAATTTTATTTTTGGTAATATAGCTATCATTACTTTCAGCAAAGTACTTGGCACATGATAGGTCAATAATAATTACCTGTCAAATTAAAATAATACAAATTGACTTTTCTAAGTTTGTTTTTTTATTATTATTTTTTTTTAATGAGGCATGTTTTTTATTTATTTGTTTGTTTGTTTTGTTTATACATGCACTGGGTACAGTCAGAAGCGCGGGAGGGTGAGAGAATTCATCAGAGCCAGAGCAGGGAGCAGAGCAGGCAGAAGGACCGAAGTACACTGCTGAGGGGAGCAGCGGGCACAGCAGGAGAGGTCTGCGTGCCATGTGGGACCCTCCTCTGGTGGCCGGGGAGCAGCCGGCGATCGAACCGGCGCCGCAGAGGCCGCGGGCAGCTTCGCAACCCAGCGCTCAACCGCTGTGCCACCGGGGAGGCTCTCTAAGTTTATGTTTTTATCTTCAACACATAGTATAGCATCTGATCTTTATACCATGTTGAATAGATGAATGAATGAATGAATGAATGAGGCATAAAATCAATAAGTTGTAAGAAAGATTAATTTTAAATGTCATGGGTCACTTTATGTGAAACATTCTTCTAATTAATGTACATTCCTATTGTTATGGATTTTTATTTTTTTATTTTTTTTACAAGATTTTTTTTTGAAGATTTATTTATTTATTTAAACAAGCACTTATTTATTTATTATTTAAACAGTCAGAAGCGCAGGAGGGTGAGAGAATTCACCAGAGCCAGAGCCAGAGCGGGGAGCAGAGCAGGCAGAAGGACCAAAGTACACTGCTGAGGGAAGCAGCGGGAGGCAGGAGAGGTCTGCGCGCCATGTGGGACCCTCCTCCAGTGGCCGGGGAGCAGCCGGGGATCGAACTGGCGCTGCAGAGGCTGCGGGCAGCTTTGCAACCCAGCGCTCAACCGCTGGGCCACCGGGGAGGCCCTGTTATGGATTTTTAATTCTGGTTGTGTTCAGGATTATATTATTTTAAGGTAGACAATGATTATGTAATTATTGAGTGGAAGGGTCACAAAATTATTTTAGCTAGTGTCATGAATTTAATTTCCATCAGGAACTTCAGAAAGATAATTATCCTTCTACATGTGTCTTGAAATCTGTTACCATGAGCTGCTCTGTTTTTTTTCCTCCTCAGGTGTGGAATCCACAGCATGTTCCCCTTACATTTAGCTGCCCTAAATGCTCACTCTGACTGCTGCAGAAAATTGTTATCATCGGGTAAGTAACTCCATTACCCAAGAAGAGGTTTAATGTGTCCTGTGAGTAAGTCACATGGCTTCAGGTGTCTGGCCAGAGTGAGTGGCTGCCAGTGCCTTGTGTCGTTCATTACCTGACTTGGCTGGAAGAGCTCTGTCCACAGCTAACTTTGTGTGACAGTTCCTAGCAGCCCTCGGTGTTAGAGCTGTTTCCATATCAGTAGTCCTGCCCCAGAATGAGTCTTATCTGTTTCTAAAGTTAAATGTTTAGTGACCCGGGGTTAAGAGACAGGTAGAGATGGCAATGGCTTACAGGAAATTCATCATAGAAGGAGAAATATCCTTGAGTCTCAAAATATCTTAAAATGGTGGCCTAATATTTAATATTTTTCTCCAAAGGAAAAAGGCCCTACCCCCCACAATTTGATAGTCATTACCTTCCCACTCTATGGATTTTGAAAAATTACTACAGTTAAACGGATCCATTCCAACTAGGCTTAATTTTTATTTTTTTTAAACATGGGTCCATTTGGAACCAAGAAATTCTTTCTGGTTTGGAGCTTTGCTAATCTTTCTTATCACTGTTTCTGCCAACCCCGGTGTATAAAAAAGCTCCTGAGCTTTCAAAGGTGATAGAGGTCTGCAAGGCAAAGATTGTTTATGAATTAATTCAAAAGATATCCCAGAGGCATTTTTCCCATATACGTACTTTACCTGTGGTTGATTCTTCTTCCACTACCTTTGGCATGTTTAAAAATAATTCTTGCATGAAAGCATGTTTCCCAAATCCTAAACCAACTGAAAGCTAATAATATACTTAAGAAAATACCTATTTCAGCATGTTAAGACTACTCCTTTGCCTTCCATGTTTTCTCCATGTGTTCTGTCTGCCTGTCTATTGCCCTACTTATCTCAAATTGGTTTCATAAATTTCTACCCTGGGATTGAAATATGGGACTGTGGTTCACCCAGGGCTGAATGTGAAAATAAATTCTTTTTGACTTCACGGTTCTTCCTATAAATTTGCCAAGCTTGAGCAGTTACCATTCGTTTCCATGACAACCTCTTTCTGACTACAATTGCTTGTGTTCTGGTTTTTCTACTAACTGATTTTTCTGTCTCTGCAATGTTTCTTGTGGTTTAACTAGGACAAAAGTATAGCATAGTATCCTTGTTTAGTAATGAGCACGTGCTGTCTGCAGGCTTTGAAATAGACACCCCAGATAAGTTTGGAAGAACGTGCCTTCATGCTGCTGCTGCAGGAGGGTGAGTAGCTAGCAATTTTAGTTGTTAATTCATGATTTAATTACTAATTCATCTTAATTTACTTAAGTTGTCTGTGAATCAGTTTCCTTAGTAAAATGGACAAGAATCATTTCTACTAATACCAAATATCAGTATGTTTGCATATCCATATTTCTTGATGTTTTATTCTTCCAAGGAAAAACTGTCAGCCTATCTTATATAGTAGAGGTTTTCTTTTCTCCCTGTCTTTTTTGTTTTCTTTTTAAATTGTAGTTATTTAACTTACAGAATGTGTATCTACTTGGTACCCCTGCCACCAAAAGAAAATAATTTGAAATTTGTTTCTAAGTTTTTTCTCTTTTGTTGCTGGTGGAGGGGGGGTGATGATCACAGGTGTTTAGGATTGAGTTAACTCAATTTCATTTATAGACATTTTGATCCTAATTCTAAAACTGATTTTTAAATCTATATAATTATTTAATGTGAATAAAAAAATTCCTTGCCTTTGTTTTTTAAGTTGTAAAGAGAACTTTTATCAGATACTCTTTTTCATATCAGTGGTTAGATTAAGACTTTGATCAATTTGTTGTTGATACACGATCACACATTGACCAAACTTGTCCTCTCTCAGATGACCTTATTTGGGTAAGGTGTTGGTTTGCAGTTGATTTCCTAGTCCTTAAGGAATAGCAACGCTTCCCTGTTTGTGTTCTGCACATCACCTAAGCATTACCGATTTGTCAGAGGTGAAGTGAGCATGGCACTTTGGAACCTCTTACTTGAAGTTTTACTTCTAGTTTTGTAGTCATAATTTTGTATTATTTTTTGAAAGAATCTCCTCCTCCCATCTTCTCTAATTTCATGAGCTTCACAAGGCACACAACTTGAATCTGTCTCTGCGTTTGATTCTTTGACTTTTTCCAGGGAGAGACAGGTGCTTTACATCAGCTGGCAGGCTACACCCACACATAATAGTCTCAGAAAATTCTTATATTTTATGGCAAACAGTTCTCTGAGAAAGGGGGATAAAAAGGGTGGATGTGAGGTGGGGAGAGCTCTGCTCAGGTTTATCATTAATGAGATCATTTTTCTTATTTAAATGATAATAAAATGGCAAATCCTAGGCCACTTCTTAGCATCCCAAGTTTAGAAGAATAATGGATAATTGTCTCTTTTTATGGCCACATTAAAAAAATATATCAGACCTGTGCAAAAGTGAAAACACACCATTCTGGATTCATGCCTGAAACTTATGTTGGAATTAATATTTAGCTATATGTCCTTCAATAGGAAAATTCACTTCAGTGGGTTCTTTTCTCCCTACTAAACATGATTTATTGCTTCTGAGAATGACAAAGAAGCATTGGAAGATCACTGTGCTCCATTATATCATTTTCAGCCTTGGTTCTGCACATTTATTTACCTAGATTATAAGGACAGGGAAATGCAGCTGTTTTATTTTCCATTTAGGACAGTCTTGGTCAGAAATGGTTATGGTGAATTCATTCTGCTGTGATAAAAGGTAATGCTTATCCACTCTGGTTCATTGTTTATAGGTGACATTAAATTATTTCATAAACTCTTTGTGGTTTTGAAAGAGAACATTAAGCTAAACAATGAAACCATCACTAAAAGGTTTAATCATATAATAATCATTAAGTTCTGTAGTCATAGAATGGAAAATGTTTCCGCAAGATCTTTAATGTATTGATATATTAAAAATTTCAGAAACTTTAGTCCCTTACTATATCACATTCCTCTAATATTTTCAGGTTATTCTTGTGTTAGCAGAATTTAAAACTAGAGCTATCATTTCCTCTTGGTCTGCACTCTAGAAAACAGTGCCTTGTGATGGTAGCCTAGCAATTGACCTCTTCCATCTGAATAATGTTTTCTCTGTCTTTCCAGTAACGTGGAATGTATAAAACTCTTGCAGAGCAGTGGAGCAGATTTCCATAAAAAGGACAAATGTGGCAGGTATGTAAAAGGGAACTCTGCTTCAAGTACCTAAATAAAAGGAGCAGGGAGGAGTCCATCTGGAAATCACATTATGTTCAAGCGATAAATAGGGAAACTAGCTGGAGGGATTCCATTCTCAGAAGGAAATCCCTCTTGTCACAAAATGCCAACAAATCACAAGCTACAAGAAAAACATCTCACAGCTTGTTTAGTGGTGCCAATTGTCTTTCTTTCTCTTCCAATTTTTAAAAATTTCCTACATGGATATAATTGAGAAAATTCTGTTTATAGCAAATAGTACACTTTAGCACCCCGAACCCAAAATTTGGTCATAAGAGCAAAATTACTTTGTTATATTTATCAGACATTTAATCTTAGGAAAAAATATTTAGACAATGTTTAAACATTAAGCACACATACCACCACCACCACCTTCACCACCACTGTCACCAACTGTGCCTTTGGCTGATGGAATGAGTCATAGACCGTTTCTCACCTTTATGAATCTTTGCTAAATCCTTCTGTAATACTGGCTGGTGTGTGGCTATGCATTACACTCACACACACCAGTGTCTCTCTGCTCCTCTCTCCATGCATCCTGGCTCTTGGAGTTGCCACAAATTTCTTCTCTTACCAACTTACCTAGGGCAGGCCCCCACTCATCTCCTCATTCTTCCAGATTTACATCAAGTGACACCACCCCTCCACTCTCACAGGGGTTCCCCTCCTCTACTCCCCTAACAAGCTCTGTACTCCACCACTGCAGGACCCTCACACTCTTCTTTTTTTTTAAAAAAGATTTATTTGTTTATTTATACAAGCACTGGGGTACAGGCAGAAGCGCGGGAGGGTAAGAGAATTCACCAGAGCCAGAGAGGGGAACAGAACAGGTAGACCAATGAAATACAATGCTGAGGGAAGCAGCGGGCGGCAGGAGAGGTCTGCACGCCATGTGGAACCCTCCCCTGGAGGCCTGGTAGCAGCCGGGGATCGAACCAGCGCTGCAGAGGATGCGGGCAGTTTCGCAACCCAGCGCTCAACTTCTGCGCCACCAGGGAGGCCCACCCTCACACTCTTCTAATGGACTCTGTTTCCTTGTCTCTCTCCTCACCTGACTATGGGTCTCCTAAGATCAAGGACTGGGTCTCTTTATCTCTGGGATCTGTCATTGATTGATACCTGATACTTTTCAGTCTAATTAGTTAAAACACAAGCAATCCACTATGCCAAATACTTAATTTCCTTGTTTTAACTAAAGAGGGAAAAATCAACTAATAAAAAGTCCATAATTATAAACATAAAATACTTAAGCATACATAAAATAAATAGTTCTTGAAATAAAGTTACTTTGTTTCTAGTATTTTTTACTATTGCAAATTGGCTAGATACACAGGTAAACTGAAATAATCAAGGACTAAAAATAAGTAATGAAAAACAATATACTTTTTTCTGTAATATCTTAACTCTCTACAAGGTGCTCGTTTTTTTCCAGTTATTACTCAGTTGGTTTTTCATAGAACTCTATGAAGTATATGGGAATGCTTATGACAATTTTTTTAAAAAAGATTATTTATGCATACAAGACCTGGGGTGTAGGCCAGAGGTACAGGAGGTGAGAGGATTCAACATAGAGAGTGGGGAGCAGAACAGACAGATCTACTGAAACACACTGCTGAGAGGAGCAGCAGGTGAGACAGGAGAGGTCTGCTGCGCCATGTAGGTTGCTCCCTGGCTGGCCAGGGATCAAACTCGTGCTGCAGTGGCTGGTGATAGCTTGATGGTGCTGTCTTTAACCCCTGTGCCACAAGGGAGACCCCTTATTACCCTTTTTGATTGAGGAAAAAGCTGAGGCCAGAAAAACTAAATGATTTAAACATTTACACAGAATTTTAGACCTAGAACAGACCTTAGGGGACAGCTGCTCAGAATACCTTACTCGAATATGGATGAGGAAGCCCAGGCTCAGAAATGATTTGGCTCAGCTTTCAAATCTGCTCAGACTAGAACTCAGGGATTCTGATTCCTCCTTCTTTGCATTGTTCTTTCCTTTGGTTAACCCACATCCCTACCCTCAAGGAGCTTTTAGTTTAGTGGAGAGGATGAGACAATACTAGTAGTTAACATCGGGGCGATCGTGATGTGATCTCAAGAGACCAGGACAGGGAATGCATAGGTTTTGAAGGCTTTAGAACAGGATAGTCATATGTTGGTATTGCGCCTTAGAAAACCCACTTCTTCATTCATATCAATTGGAAAGTTTGATTGATGGAAGTTTGATTAGCATAAAGGAGATCAATAAGGATGGTATTGATATAGTCCAGATGAACAGGAATGTAGACCCAAACCAGTACAGGCACTGGGAAGGGGAATAAAAGATAGATCCACAGTGGATAGCCTTGTCTGAGGCCTGGTCTTTGTGGTTTCAGTTCTAAGTTATAAAGTCAAAGGAAGATCCCTTGACCTCCAACCCCCAGGAATACTGCTGTCAGTGCTAGTACAGATGATGGGTCTGTTTTTCAGACCAGATGAAGTAATAAACTTCTGTTTGTTTTTCAGGACCCCTTTGCACTATGCAGCTGCAAATTGTCACTTCCACTGTATTGAGACATTAGTAACCACAGGGGCCAATGTTAACGAAACAGATGACTGGGGACGGACAGCCTTGCACTATGCTGCTGCATCAGACATGGATAGAAAGTAAAAACAGCCTTGCTCATGCTTCTCTGGGGTTAGGGCAGGGGTGGGGGTGGAAGAATTTACCATTTCCTTCATACTGCCTCACAGAAACCGTGAATGAAGAATTTTTTTTATTCAGACCCAAAGCATTTAGAATTACTTCATCCCTAACCCTGCTTTTCCCATTCCACTCTCTTTATGTTTGATTATTACATGTCACTGCACAATTACTTTTCTGTTCTTTGGGTGGAATGCCAAATGGAGCTGTCAAACCCAGGTTTTCAGTTTATTCAAAATATGTTGTAATTTATTTTGTCATATACTGTAGTTTTCATTATCACCACTTGGATGCTTCACTTGCTGTAAAACTTACATTTGCTAATAAATATGTCATATGTTGAAAATATCCATCTATGCATAATCCCAGTAGCCTCTAAAAGTAGCATCTATATGTATAAAATAGGCACTATTGTTCCAAATCTGGGCACAAATGCTTTTTTAGTAGGAAAACTAGAGAAAAAGAAGTTGTTGCTTTGGGCATGTTTGGATTTTAGGAGGCTAGAGATGGAAAGAAAAAATAAGTGAACTAGTTCTGGGGAAAAGGTAGAAACGCCCATGGCTTATGAGATTCTTTTCAAAGACTGAAGGACCAGGGCCTCCTTCATAGAAATACTTTTTGGTGATCCTGTTTGGAGAACTGTTCAATTATTTGCTGTTGTGTGCTATGGGATTGATTCTGGGTCAGTGCTAACTGTTTTTCTCATAGAGCACTTTCAGACATTTTAGATGATAACCCACAGTATGAAACACATTTTACATCATTACCCAGAACACACACTTACATAATATGTTCTGTATGTACATATATACTTACATACATGCATGTATATATATGTAAAACAAACAAAAATTTCATGAAACCATTTTATTTGGACTATGTATGATGCATTCAGATATAATCTTTTATATCATTAAAAATGTTACTGGATGCAACCCACTGAGTTCAGTTTGAAAATTTTACAGTTCAGTTTGGAAAACACTGTCTTCATATCATATAATGTTGGATTGTCAGATGTAGCACTCAGGATCCCATAGCCATGAAGGTTATTGATTCAGCAAACATTTGTTGAACATCTACTATGTGCCAGGCTCTATGATATTCATTTGGGATAGAGTGGGGAAAGCCAAACTTCATTAATTAAGTAGAAAAGTAATCCTAGACAATGAAGAACTTCTCTTGTAGATGAGGGATGACCAAGATCCATTCCTGAATAGGTGAGATACTAAACTGGCAAAAAGACATCAAGGAATGTGGTGATAAAAAAGGTGAAGCTAAATTGCTTCCTTTTACTTGGGGAGTTTAGGATATTTACTAAAGTGTGAACAACTTGATTGCTGTTTTATTCACTGATATTTGGGCAAAAGTCTTAAGAAAGACATTTTCTCAGTTGGATTCCTTGGGAGATGATAAGTTTACTGACTGGCCTTGGAGAGAACCATGTATATCCTTAGTGAAAAATGAGTAGTACTCCTTAACTTTGGGGTTGTGTTTTTAATCATTGAGATATAAATTACACCAAGTCATTAGCAACTTTGCCATTAAAAAATTAATTGTATTTAATTTTTTCCCTTATGCCGAGCAGTAAGACTATCTTAGGAAATGCCCATGAAAATTCAGAAGAACTTGAAAGAGTCAGAGAGATGAAGGAAAAGGAAGCTGCACTGTAAGTTTCTTCTCAGCTTATGTTCATGACACCATTACTGATGCTTTTTCTGCTTTTCTAAGTTGCCATATGGGCCAGCTCTACTATTTGGGAGTCTCACTTCTTATCTTGAGGTTATGTGGTGTTTCCTTTAATAAAGAAGAAATTATTTTAATACATCCTTCACTTATTTTCACACTGGGAGCTCTTTCTAAAATCCCAAGCTTTCCTGGGACCGTCATGGTAATTGATCAGCATTTTCTAGGCTTAAGTATCTTAAATATTACTTCTGATTTATCCAGGTGTCATGTGCCTCTTCTCTGAGCTGTAAGATCCCCCTTTCTGATATGGTGATAACAACTATTTAGCAGATTCTATAAATAAATGTTTTGGTGTGAAGTATACACTGGTTATACACTCTCCTCCCTCACCAACACACATACCAACTTACAGAGAGCCCGCTTCTCCCTGCAAACAGTTGCCCCTGTCCCTCTTCATCCCTCCTGTTTCTCTCTGACTTCTAAGAGACTTAGCTGTTACTGTGATAGGGGCCAGAGTGATCGCCATGTCCCAGGAGTGTGCTACATGGGAAGCTCAAATGCTTTGTCCTTTGAGAGTCCTTCCTGCATTGCAAGTCATGGTGATCAGGCTGTGTTCTGCCTAGTGCAGGGCCTGGCACATAGTTGGTGTTCAATAGCTGTGGAGTAGACCAACCAATTCATAAATTGTGCCCACATTTTCTGTCTGCTCCCATGGGACCTGGTGGATATAGTGCTCTAGTCCTTCACTTGTCTGTTCTCTTCTCCAGTTGTCAAATAAACAAGTTTCTCTGCAGCCTGAATGCCTGTGTCTACTCTAGGGTCTTCTTACTGCCCACTGGGCTCTCCCCCCCAGGTCCAGATGATTGTTAAAGAGTACAGTAGAGAGTATGGCCCTGGTGACAATTGTGGGACATAACTTTGTTACTGGGGTAGGAACAGGAAAGTAAAGCACAATGACCAAGGTTTTACCCTAATGCTACAAAATTAAAATAATGATATTAAAAGAATATAGAATTTTGACTGACCTCAGCAAATTCCCCCTTCTCCGTTGAAATGTAAGCTTATCCTGGCCCCTTTTAGAGCTGATGGAGAGAGAAGAAACAGAAGGCGAGGGAACAGGCAGCCTGAGAGCTCTCTTGTGCAGAGAGTCTTTTCTCCTTGCTTTAAGTGCACTTCTTACCTGATGTGAATCTTTTGATTTTGTAACTTAATTGTGAAAATTGGTAGTCAGGGTCTTAAGACACAACTTGGAGAATATTCAAATTCTATAGTACTGTTGCTATTTCTAACAATACTCTTGGTAGTATAGTTCAGTTGTATTCTGGGTTAAATAAGTTTTGGGGAGCAATTCTAAATTTTCCAAATTACATGTTAAGTGTGTCAACTGAGTGTTAGAATGTAGTCCTTTCAGAAGCTGGGAATTGTGTGTCCACTAGAATGCTATTCCTCGTGAGTGATTTTATTTAATGAGCCAAATCCAGTTTTAAATGAGTTACACCTAGGATCCAGTCCACAGGCATTTAAATTACCAAAATAAAAAAATAGATTCCTTATAAGGTGCAAATCACCAAAGACAGCATGATATCTGGAGTCTGAATAGTTTGATTTAAATAAGGAGTATTTTGTGGATAAATCATAGTATGAAGGTTTTTGGTTTAAAAATTTATGTCTTTCATTTTTTTTCCCCAGAGGCTAAAATATTTAATTGTCTGTGTGTTTGCTTTGTTTATTCTTTTTTGCTTCATGCCAAAAGTTAGGTAAATGTTTCTGAGCAGAAATTTTCTATTGGAAGGTCTTCGTTAAATGTGCGGGCTCATGTTTAAAATCTTAACATTTTTATTTGCATGTGAAATTGAATCAGCTTGGCCTTGTAAAGGACATATTTGTCCCACTGTCTCAGAAATAATACTGAAAAGGTGGAGCTGTGCTCCCTGCATGTTATTCTTGCTGCATCAGCAGAGATATGCCACTTGCACAAGCCCTGAGCAGAACGTGTGGCACCCTGAGCACTCATGTCCTAGAGTCTGTGTCTCTAGACCAAAGTGGAGCCAAGCTGTTTTCTCTAACCTATTGCAGATTGTAGCTTTTTCAGAAAAAGTACAACTCTGTTAGAAAAGACTTTTAAAATTTATTGTTTATTATTTTAGCTTAGCCTATATTTCTTTTTTTTTTTTAAATAATAAATTTTATTTTTATATTCCCCATACAATTGCAGCCCCCCCATTCTGACCCCAATCCCTCCCCTCCCGCCCCCACCCCCCTAAAAGTGTCTCTGGTTCATAGTTTTTTGTTGATTTTGATTTTCACTTTCTTATAGTTATTCATTTTCCTGGTCCCTTATTTAAGTTTTCTAGATTCCTGCTATGAGTGAGACCATCCGGTATTTTTCTTTTTCTTTTTGGCTTATTTCGCTGAGCATGATCCCTTCCAGCGCCATCCATGTTGCTGCAAATTGCATGTGTTTATCTTTTTTGAATGCTGAGTAATATTCCGTGGTATATATGTACCACATCTTCTTGATCCAGTCATCTATTTTTGGGCATTTGGGTTGTTTCCAAAGCTTAGCTATTGTAAACAGTGCTGCTATAAACATAGGGGTGCAGGTGTTCTTTGGAATTGATGTTTCTGTGTCCTTTGGGTAAATACCTAGGAGTGGAATTTCTGGATCATATGGAAGCTCTATGTTTAGTAGGTCCAGAAATCTCCACACAGCTCTCCACAGTGGTTGGACCAGTTTGCACTCCCACCAACAGTGCAGAAGAGTTCCTTTTTCTCCACACCCTCGCCAACATTTGTTGTTGCTAGTTTTTTTAATATGTGCCATTCTCACTGGTGTAAGATGGTATCTCATGGTAGTTTTGATTTGCATTTCCCTGATGACAAGTGATGTTGAACATTTTTTCATATGCCTGTTGGCCATTTGCATTTCCTCTTCAGAGAAGTTTCTTTTTAGCTCTTCTGCCCATTTTTTGACTGGATTATTTTCTTTGTTGTTGTTGAGTCTCATCAGCTCTTTGTAGATTTTTGTGATCAGTCCTTTATCATTAGTGTTGGGTGCAAAAATGTTCTCCCAGTTGGTGGGGTTTCTCTTTGTTTTTGTTATTGTCTCTTTTGCTGTGCAGAAGCTCTTTAATTTGATGTAGTCCCAGCTGTTTATCTTTGCCTTCACTATCACTGCTTTGGGTGATGTGTCTGTAAAGATGTCTTTGATGTGCAAATCACGTAGTGTTTTGCCTATATTTCCTTCTATATATTTTATGGTTTCAGGTCTTATGTCTAGTTCTTTAATCCATTTTGAGTTGATTTTTGTGTATGGTGTGAGGTAGTGGTCAAGCTTCATTCTTTTGCATGTAGCGACCCAGTTTTCCCAGCACCATTTATTGAACAAACTTTCTTTGCTCCAATGCATAGTCTTTGCTCCTTTGTCAAAGATTAGTTGACCATAAATCTGTGGGTTTATTTCTGGATTTTCTATTCGATTCCATTAGTCTGTATGTCTGTTCTTGTTCCAATACCATGCAGTTTTGATGATTATGGCTTTGTAGTAGAGTTTGAAGTCTGGGAGTGTGATGCCTCCATTCCCTTCTCTTTTTTTCAGGAGAGCTTGGCTCTTCGGGGTTTTTTGTGATTCCATATGAATTTCATCAATAATTGTTCTATTTCTTTGAAGAATGACATTGAAATTTTGATTGGAATAGCATTGAATCTGTATATTGCTTTTGGAAGGATGGCCATTTTAATAATGTTTATTCTTCCAATCCATGAGCAGGGGATGTCTTTCCATTTCTTTGTGTCTTCTTCTATTTCTTTTAACAGTGTTTTATAGTTTTCTTTGTATAGGTCCTTTACCTCTTTTGTTAGATTTATTCCCAAATATTTGATTTTTTTTGTTTCAATAAAAAAGGGATGGTTTTTTTGATTTCTTCTTCTTCAGATTTATTGTTTGTGTATAGGAAGGCTACTGACTTTTGCATGTTGATTTTGTATCCTGCCACTTTACTGAACTGATTGATGAGTTGAATTAGTTTTTCTGTGGAGTTTTTGGGGTTCTCTATGTATATAATCATATCATCTGCAAATAGTGATAGTTTGACTTCTTCTTTTCCTATTTGGATTCCTTGGATGTCTTTCTCTTGTCTTATTGCTCTGGCTAGGACTTCCAGTATTATATTGAAAAGCAGTGGTGAGAGTGGACATCCTTGTCTTGTTCCAGCTTAGCCTATATTTCTAATGGTACAACTGAAGTGTCTTTTTTCCATATGGGTCTACTGACTTAATCCCTTTTATTTTTAAAATGTTTACTCATGACTTTATTCTTTTTATTGTTTAGCCTATTCTTAGGTTTTTATTAATTTTTTTTATTTGGTTTCTTACTCTTTTTAACTTCCATTTTTCAACCTTTTGATCTTAGAGTCTCAAGATTTAAAATAAGCTGCTCTCCCTTAAGGTTGTTACATTGCTATGAACTGCTCACCTCTTTTCACATGTGAGACCTCATCTTTTGAACATTGAGCTCTAAAACTCATAGCCCACGTTAAGGCAGATGGGTTCTGTACCTTAATATGAGAAGGAAAAAAACTTTAATTACCCTCTTGTTTTTAAAGTCTTTCCTAAATTCTAGAATGGCTATTTTAGGCTGAAATAAAGATAGTAACAGAAAACACACATACATTTAGAGCTTCCAGGATAAAACCTCATTGTTTTAGGATTCTTAAAGGAACACTTAATTTCACAAAGTAGTTTGTGCTACATTCAAAGTAAGCAAATATTTGTATTATCTTTTTTGGTCCATAGATATTTTCCAAAATAACCCTTCATCTTTATACCTAACAGATGTCTAGAGTTTCTGCTTCAGAATGATGCAAATCCGTCTATCCGGGACAAGGAAGGTTACAATAGCATACATTATGCTGCTGCCTATGGCCACAGACAGTGTCTGGAATTGGTAAGTTGGTTTGTATTGTTCTGTTTCTGGAATACACATGTGTGCACACACATGTACCTAAGTCTGAAATTGTTGGTCTTCTCAGCAAATGCTCTAACTGCTCTCACTAGTAACCACCTTGAAGATTTTCTGTGGTGAATGATTAAATTATTTCACTTTATGGTCTGTAGATCTGTGTTCTATTTCTGTCCATCCTCATGTCAGAGCTGTCTGATAATTCTTTTTCATGGTAATTTGGGCTGGAAATGTTAGACCCATGTGTGGGCATATTTTATATTTTAAAGATCCTTTGGTTGTAGCAAATAAAAGTGTGTACTGCTGAAGACATATTTTAGCAACCCCCCAATTTTAAATAAATGTGTTGAAGGATACCTAACCATTAATCATATGCATTTAACAGTTGTAGTTTAGGGGAGAAATTTGGCAGTAGTCCAGCAATGAGATGTACCGAATTATCCAAACCAGTAGAAATTTCAAACCTGAAATGATCACGAAATTCTTGGAGGCTTGGAGTCTGAAATTCCTCTGTTCATGCAGGCCACAGGGCACAAACTCAAATATCCCCATGGAATAGAAATATAAAGTAAATGAGTGAAGTGAACCCAGGAGTAGATCCTAGGGAATGGTGAGGATTGTGGTCAATAGAGAGGACATGTTCTATCTAAAGGGAAAAACAGCTTGTCAGCTTCAGCTGATTGAGACCAAATGGGAATGCTACTATGGTTGCTACATCTCCAGTGTTTTAAGAGAAACTAGAAATTTAGACTTTTTATGTGAATTTCCTGTTTTCAAAACACTGGGTGGTCTATGAAGAAAATATGTGGATTTGTGGTAGAATCTTGCCTGTAGGCCATTATTTACCATCTCCTGATTACTGTCCTTGGTTGCTTCACTGAGGTATATGGAGTATCTCAAACTCACTATCTCTGGTCCAATGACAGACAGCAACTTTCCTGACTCTCCAACTCTCAAGTGTCATTTTACAAGCAGAAGTCCTACTTTCAGAGTTATTTGGAGGTGTGTTTGGGGAACACATGCTTTTTTTTTTTTTTTTTGGTTAACTGCATAATCTACTGAGAGAGGCAAAAAGCCAGCATCGATGGTGTCATCTCCTGCCCGAATGATGCCCCAGCTAGTTCCTTCACCTTAGGCTATTCTACTGGTTTTATATTTTATTTATTTATTTATTTATTTATTTATTTATACAAGCACTGGGTACAGTCAGAAGCGTGGGAAGGTGAGAGAATTCACCAGAGTCAGAGCAGGGAGCAGAGCAGGCAGAAGGACCAAAGTACACTGCTGAGGGGAGCAGCGGGCGGCAGGAGAGGTCTGCGCGCCATGCGGGACCCTCCTCTGGTGGCCGGGGAGCAGCCGGGGATCGAACCGGCGCCGCAGAGGCCGCGGGCAGCTTCGCAACCCAGCGCTCAACCGCTGCGCCACCGGGGAGGCCCCTGGTTTTATATTTCTTTTAACTAAATATGCGAGGAAATGTTCATAAAGTTCACCCTTGTAAGAAATAAAAAGATAGTTTATTTTAGTGTCTTTTTTTGTGGTTTTGTGGATGAATTTTACCTGCCTTCATCACTCTTGAAGACTTGTGAGTCTTCTTTCCCGCAGTTCTTATGGATATTATAGATTTCCTTGTTTGACCTTGGGAGTGGAATTTTTCCCTCTAGTTTTGATTCAGTGATAATCTTCTTCCAGTTCCTGTGACTACATAAGAAATAACCCAAAAGTTACTTATTTAGAATAATAATTTATTATTTCTCACTGTTTCTGTAGATCAAGAATTCAGGAGTCCCTTAGTTGAATAGTAATAGTTAAAGGTCTCCTGTGAATTACAGACTGTGATTGGGCTGGCATGATTTCAAAAGCTTCTTCATTCATATGTCAATCAACTGAGTTCGAAGATTCAAAGAGCTGACAGTCCTTGGGCTGCTCTGTGTCTCTGTGTGGTTTCTTTATGTGGTTTTCTCTAGTGCAGCAGTTCAGAGTAGTTGGAGATGTTACATGGTGATTCAGATATCCAAAGGTATCTGCCCTGGGAGAGAATGAGAGTAAGGTCAAGAGCAAGAGCACAAGCAAGAGCAAGTAAGAGAAAGGCATAACCCTTTTTTTTTTGGGGGGGGGAATTGTCTTTTTTTTATTTTATATAATTCTAACATTTTTGCACAATGTATGCATTTTCATTTTGGTTATATATCCCATACAATTCCCACCCCCCTCATTTTGACCCTAATCCCTTCTCTCCCTGTCCCCCTCCCCATAGTGTGTCTCTGGTTTATAGTTGCTTGTTGATTTTGATTTTTTTCTTTATTATAATTAGTCTTTTTCCTGGTCCCTTATTTAGGTTTTCTAAATTCCTGCTATGAGTGAGACCATCCGGTATTTTTCTTATTTCGCTGAGCATGTGATCCCTTCCAGCTCTATCCATGTTGCTGCAAATTGCATGAGTTTATCTTTTTTGATTGCTGAGCAATATTCCATTGTGTATATGTACCACATCTGCTTGATCCAGTTATCTATTTTTGGGCATTTGGGCTATTGTAAATAGTGCTGCTATAAACATAGGGGTGCAGGTGCCCTTTTGAATTAATGTTTCTGTGTCCTTTGAGTAAATACCTAGGAGTGGAATTGCTGGATCATATGGAAGCTCTATGTTTAGTAGGTTGAGGAATCTCCATACAGCTCTCCATAGTGGTTGGACCAGTTTGCACTCCCACCAGCAGCGCAGGAGAGTTCCTTTTTTCCCACATCCTCGCCTACATTTGTTGTTGCCAGTTTTTTTTCATATGTGCCATTCTCACTGGTGTAAGATGGTATCTCATTGTAGTTTTGATTTGCATTTTCCTGATTTATTCTTCTCCAGATTTATTGTTTTAATTTCTTCTTTGAGCTCATTAGCCCAGTGGTCTTCGAGTAGTGTGGGTTTCAATCTCCATGAGGTAGGAAAGTTCCTTGCCTTCTTTTTATGGTTTATTTCTATTTTGAGGCCTTCATGGTCAGAGAAGATGGTTGGTATGATTTCAATCTTGGTACATCTGTTGATGTTTGTCTTGTGTCCCAGTATGTGATCGGTCTTGGAGAATGATCCATGTACACTTAAGAAAAATGTGTACTCAGATTTTTAGGGGTTTAGTGTTCTAGATATGTCTGTTAAACCCATGAGCTCTATATCCTTATTTAGAGCTTTAGTGTCCTTACCTATTTTTTGTCTCGTTGATTTATCCATTGTTGATAGTTTTGTGATGAAGTCTCCTACTACATATATGTTTTCTCTGATGTCTGTTTTCAGAGATGATAATAGTTGTCTGATATATTTTGGTGCTCCTTCATTTGGTGAGTATATGTTAATGAGTGTTATTTCTTCCTGAAGCATTGTCCCCTTGATCATAATGTAGTGACTGTCGGGGTCTCTTTTTACCTTTTTGAGTTTAAAATCTGTTTTATCTGATATAAGTATAGCTGTTCCTGCTTTCTATTTTGGTCCATTAGCTTGTAGTATTGTTTTCCATCCTTTTACTGCCAGTCTATTTTTATCTTTTGTAGTTAAATGTGTTTCTTGGAGAAAGTAAAAGGTTGGGTTTAGTTTCTTTTTCTTTTTTTTTTTTTTTAAAGATTTATTTATTTATTTATTTATTTATTTATTTATTTATTTATTTATTTATTTATATAAGCACTGGGTACAGTCAGAAGCGCGGGAGGGTGAGAGAATTCACCAGAGCCAGAGCAGGGAGCAGAGCAGGCAGAAGGACCAAAGTACACTGCTGAGGGGAGCAGCGGGCGGCAGGAGAGTTCTGGCGCCATGTGGGACCCTCCTCTGGTGGCCGGGGAGCAGCCGGGGATCGAACTGGCACTGCAGAGGCTGCGGGCAGCTTCGCAACCCAGCGCTCAACCGCTGCGCCACCGGGGAGGCCCTGGGTTTAGTTTCTTAATCTAGCCTGCAACTCTGTCTTTTTATTGAAGAGTTTAGTCCATTTACATTTAGAGTTAATATTGATATGTTAGTGTCTGTAATTGCCATTTTGTTTGTCTTTTCTCTGGTTTTATTTATTTATTTAAAAAAATTTTTTTTGGTCTTGTTTCGTTCTTATTCATCCCGCTGTTGGTTCTGGCTTTATGACTCCTTATAATATTTTTGGGAGTGGGGGTTTAGTTGTAATGAAATTCCGGAGTTTCTGTTTGTCTGGGAAGGTCCTTATTCTTTCTTCATAGAGGAAGGAAATCTTTCTGGGATAGAGTATTCTTGGTTGGCATTTGTTGTCTTGGAGTTTGTTGACTATGTCACTCCACTCTCTCCTTGCCTATAGTGTTTCTTCAGAGAAGTCTGATGTCAGCCTGATTGGTTTCCCTTTGAATGTTATCTGTTTCTTTGCTCTTGTCAGCTTCAATATTTTTTCCTTGTCTTGGATTCTTGGGAGTTTTACTATTATGTGTCTTGCTGTATTTTTCCTTTCATCATGGAAGTTTGGTGTTCTTCTTACTTCTTGTATGTCTATTTTCAGCTCCTTCTTCATGTTTGGGAAGTTCTCTTTAATTATTTCCTTGAATATTTTCTCTGTACCTATGTCTCTCTCCTCTCCTTCTGGGATTCCTATAAATCTTATATTTCCTTTCCTCATGGAGTCAGATAGTTCCTGAAGTCTTTCTTCATTCTTTTTCCTTCATACTTCACTTTCCTTTACTGTTTTAGTTCTTTTTATTTCTGTGTCTTCGAGAGTAATTATTTGTTCTTCCATTTCATCTATTCTGCTTTCACTGCTTTTCCTGGAGTTCTTTAGCTCCTCTATAAATCCTTTGATCGCTTGCATTTCTTTCACTTCCCTCTTTAGGGACTCAATTTCATTCTTCTGATCATTGATTATCTTTCCCTTATCATTGTTTTCCTTTATGACTTCTTTCAGTTTTTTAATCATGGCAATCTTCAATTCTCTATCTGGAAGGCTCAGAAGTTCTTCCAAGTCACTATTGTTGCATTCTGGTGGGTGATTTTCTTTTTG